AATGTAACAGAAGCCAGGGGTGGTGGTATACGACTGTTTTCCCAGCCCTCTGGGAGGTGGGGGCAAGAGGATCACAAGTTCAGCCTGGGAAAGTTAGCAAAATTTTGTCACACACACGAATTTTAAAAGGGGAGTGGGATGGGGATGAAGCTCAGTGCAAAGATCCTGAGTTCAATCCCCAGTACTATAAAACAGTCAGGCACGGTGGTGGACGCCTGTAATCCCAGTTCTCAGGAGGCTGAGGCAGGAGAATCACCATAAGCCCAGCCTCTCTCTCTGCACTTCCTCCCATTCTCCACAGCTGCCTTAGGAACAGATCTTCCCCTCTCTAGGACTTTGAGCCTCCCCTTCTCAGATGGATCTTTTCCTAGGCTTTTAATTGTTGTTTAATGTCTCCCATTAAAACAAAGAGATAGGTTATTAAAGCTGCTGTGTTTGGGGCTATCTGTTGAATTGAGGTGGACATGAAGAAATTCTGCCTCCTAACTAAGCGTTAGTATCGTCTCTCCATCCTGCATACTGAGGGGAGGGACCACCAGCTACAAATGGAACACTAAGTGTCTGACTCTGTTGGTGCATTTGTGATTGGTAACAGGATTAGGCCCCTGAAGAATGAGAGACTGTCCCTTCTACCACATATGTATTTAGAGTTCAGGAGTTTTTAAGCTTGTTTAAGACCCCTAGCCCCTGTTGGCAATCTGATTTGCCTCTCAGAATAATATTAAATGTGTAAAATAAAGTACATATGATTACAAAAGAAATCAATTCTATTAAAAGTTACTGTAAAACTGTGATACAGTAGTGTATCTGCTTCATTACAAAAGCATTACATAAGAAATTTAAAGGCTGGATGTGGTAGTGCACATCTATAATCCCAGCACCTGGGAGGCTGAGGCAGGAGGATCTCTTGAGAGTTCGCGGCCATCCTGGGCTTCAATAGTGAGTTCAAGGGCAGCCTGAACTACAAAGCAAAACCTTGACTCAAAAAGTAAAAATTTAGAGGCAGGTTCAATATTTACCATAATTTTAAAGCAGTGATGAACACAAGTGGCATTGTAAAACGTCTGTCTTGTAATATAAGCATATGTGATTTTTATTGGTGATAAAAACACAATATCATACCTCTAATACCACTATAGTTTGCTGTCTAGAGTGTATGACTGAAGTAAATGGGGACTTCAGTTACAAGTTGGTGAATATAAAGATATAATTTCTCCCATCCAAGGTTATGGGTTCCCCGTGTGGATCCTTGGACAAGAATCCCTGTTATTACCAGTGCTGCCACTGAACTTGACTGGTTTCTGCTGTCCAAGAGCTACCCACAGGGACCCAGGAGCAGGTCCCAGCAACAACAGAAGATGGGAGGATTTCACTGTGGTCCTGGGTCTCAGATGGGACAGTTAGAAAGGACCAAGGCCACACTGAGGCATGCTGCAGAAGGCCTGTATTTTTAGATGTCAGAATTAGACTGGTTAATATGATTTCATTGAGTCAAACTGTAACCTATGCGTGGGGTTGGAACTTATGTTTATAAGCTTTCCTTAGGAAATGCCCTAAGTTAACGGGGATGGAAAGACTGAGAAAAGGTAGAAGGGATGTGTACGTGTCTTGAATAAAAACTGATAGGCTTTTCTTTATAACATCACAATATAGCACGAAGAATTTTCAATGTAAACAGTTATAAAATTCTATCATTCATTAATTTTTGCCATACTGGGGATGGAAAACAGGACCACTGAGCTATATCTCCATCCCCTTTTTTCTTTATTATTGTTGAGATAGGATCTGTCTAACTTGCCCAGGCTGGCCTTCTTTTGCTTCCGCACCCCTCAAATGTCTAGGATTAAAGGAATGTGTCACCATACCCCTCTGAGTTATAAAATTTTATTAATGGCCGTATATTATTCTATTATAAACATATTCTATAATTCATTTATTTCTCAGATCTGATATAATCAGTGCTGATGCATGCTGTAGGTTAAATCTTTGTCCACATTGTTTTTATTTCCTTAGAATACTTCCATACATGGAATGATTGTACCACAATTTAGCAACAACCACAAGAACAATGCATATGTTAAGGACTTTGTTTATCAGTACTGTCAAATTGTCCTACAGAAATATTGTCCCGGTTCCTATCAGAACTCTGGTGGCTTGAAGGTGGCAAGGAGACTGGGAGAATGTCCCTAAATGGTGAGAAGTAACAGCATCCTGCAGGAGGGAACAGGACTGAGCCCATGATATCCTACTTTTCTACTACCAGGCTAGACTGTCGGCTGGGACAGGGTCTGCAAGACTTGGGGTCCCTCATGTTAACTTGATGTAAACCATTTGGAGGGACTCAGCCTTATGCAGCTGTGCTAAGAGGACCAAAAGAAAAGGCCGGTGTCTGTGTTTGGACCATGCTATGGGGTGTGCAGTAACATAAATACATATGACTCAGGGGGTACTATCTGGCCAGAGCAGCTTATGTGGAAAAGCATGAGCAGTGACAGCTATTTGGTTTACAACCTCCATACCCAGCCATTCTTCCATCAATATTTTCTTTGTTCATGTATAATAGATAATGTGAAATAGGAAGAAAAGGTCCAAAGGGGAAGGAGAAGTGGGAGGGGTAAGGGAAAGGAAAGAAGGGAAAGGAATAACTATGAGAAAAGGAAAAAATGGAAAAAAAGTCTTTACAAATAGGGTGGGGTGGAGGGGTTGAAGGGAGGGCAGGGGAATGGGGAAAAAATTAGAACCAAGATATACCATGTAAAGGTACAAATTCCCAATAATGAATGTCAGCATACTGTGCACTTGATCTTAGCCAAAAGGCTGACAAGCAATGTCAGCATATTGTATACCTAAAATGTACCAATAAAATTAATGAATGAAAAAAATATTTTCTTTGTTCAAGTGATAAGGTCTGGGGAAGTTGTGTAGTAGTGAAGACTGTTCTCCTCCTACTACTCCTCTCCCTCTTCCTCCTCCTCTTTCTAACCATCCCTGTTTTCTTTCCTTTGCAGCTAGACAGTACACTCCAGGAGGATAGAAATCATTTGATATTTCTTTTGTACAACCAACATCAGTAGATATGGGGAAAAGAAAAGAGCTTTCTAATTCTCTCTGCTGTCACAAACTATACTGGATTGTTATAATCTAAGCAGGCCTATAGTGATGATTCTCTGTTCTCCCTCATGGTTTTATAGATGGAAACTGAGTTTATTTTTTCATGCAAATAGACTAAAGATCTGTTCTCTCTCTATAGTCCTACTTCCCAGATTAGATTATTAGTAATTAGATCATTAGTATCTGCTATGGTTTGAAAGTTTCCCCAAAAATCCATGTGTCAGAAACAATCGCCAAATGAATGGTATTTGGAGGTATTTGGAGGTGGGGTATTTGGGGATAGGTAATTAAGATTAGATCATAAGGGGGATGTCCCCATTATGGCATTAGTAACCTTATAAGAGGGAGAGCCTAGAGCTAGCAAGTTTATTCTGTCTCATCGTACAATGCCCTTCCCATCTTACGGTGCAGCAAGAAGGAAAACTCTCACCAGACTCTGAGCAGACGCTGGCCCGGGCTCTTCGAGTCCCTAGCCCTCCTAAGCCAAACAAACTTCTACATTTAAAAATTCCGTGGTCTAATATATTTTGTTATATCATCAGAAAATAAGCAAAGTACTTCTCCCTTATCTTTACTGGGATTCTGTAGACTGTAGTTCCCCATTCATAATCCTAATGTTACAAAGTTGCATCCAAAAGACTTGCCCTTTCCCTTATAAATTTACACCAGGGGCCCCTGGCCCACTATCCTCTCCCTGTCCAACTCCAGAGGGACATAAAATCTACAAGGAGCAAACAGACCCTGGATTAGCTTTTGCTGCAAGGTTGGTTGGTTTGTTTTGAGAAGTTTTTTCTATGTTTTTCGGGCTGGCCTTGAACTCACTGTGTGACCCGGACTGGCTGCCAACTCAGAGGGATCCTCTGCCTCAGTTTCCCAAGCACTGGGACTATAGGCGTGCGCCACCTAGCTTTGGCTTCTCTTCATGGGTGCTTACGGGGCCTGCTTTCTCGCACTCTGGGTTTTCTGAGTAGAGGCAGGAGAAAAGGGCTCCTGGCCCTTCCTCAAGGGTCCTTTCTTTACTCCACTCCTCATCTGCTGTGACAATGCAGAGCCTACTCTCCCACCCAAGGGCCCCTGGTGTCTCCCTGACTCTCTTCCCATTAGGCTGAGGCCAGCCAATCTTCCTGTCCCTCTACTGCTGTGTGACATCCATGGGGCTGTCGTTTGTCTAAGGAAAGCAAGCAAAGAAAAGTTGAATCGGATTTAAAACTCTGCCTGCTAGCCAGCCTCGGCCCAATATTTCCTTTCACTACGGCTGTGATTGAATTACCCCCCTCCTCCGGTCGGGCCAGAGATGGCCTGACGGTCTGCGCCATCCCCACACGCATCCCAGAGCGTCCAGGCCAGCATCGCATACCGTGCGCTGGCAACGACCTCACGATCTGTTTGGGTAGACAAAATAGCGCACACCAAACGCCGAGCAGCCCAAGCCGTATCCAATCCAGTCACGCTCCGGCGTGTGTCCCAGATGCAGCCCAGGAAGAAAACAAGTGTTTGCGGAGCCCGTTTCCCAGGGCCCTTCGGCGCGCGTTATTCTCCCCCCACCCCACTTGCTCTAGAACATTGCCACCCCGAAGCCCTCAAAGCTGTCAGGTGGAGCTAAGGGCGGACCCTGGATTCCCAATCCGGCTCCGAGGACTCACGCCGGGCGCTCTCCGGTCCCCGCAGGCTAGGAGTCCCGGGGCGCGGCGGGGCGCGGGGCGGGGAGGCGCCAGGCGTAGCCAATCCCCGGGCCGCCCCCTCCCCGGGAGCCGCTCGCCGAGCCCAGCCGAGCCCAACCGGGGCGGGGGCGCCAGGCGGCGGCGGCGGCGGCGGCGACGGAGGCTGCCGCGGGGAGGGATGGAGAGGGGCGGGGGGAGCGGAGCCGAGCGGAGACAGCCGCGGCGCTGCAGAGCGGCTGGGGCGGCGGCGCGGCTCCCGGTGCTGCCCCCGGCGCGCGCCCCGAGCCGGTGAGGGGCCGGCGGCCCGGAGGCCCCCGGAGCCATGGGCTGCATCGGCTCGCGAACTGTGGGTGGGTACCGCGGCTGGGCGTGGGCCGGGGCGGGGCTGGGCCCGGGTCGCCGCGCCCCCTCCCCCAACGCGCCCGGGTCCCGGGGGACCCCGCGCGGCGCACGCCTGGCCCTGCGGGCGCCCGCACTTTCCCGGGGTCGGCGCGTGGCGCCCGCATCCTCCCGCGCTCCCCGCGGCTCTTCCCCGGCCCCCGTAGCCCTCCCGCGGGCTTGGTCCCCTCTCGCCCAGCGTCTCCATCCACCGTCCCCATCCTTCCAGCCAGGCCCTCGCTGGCCCCGGCGCCTCCTCGCCCCAGGCTCGGCCCCTCGCTTCCCCTCCGGACCCCCAGGGTGTTCTGCCCCCACCTTCCCCACCCGGTTGCCTTTTCCCGTCGATCTTGCCTCCCCCGGTTCGCTTTGTTCACGTGCGTTTCCCTCCGGGGCGGGGGCGGGATGAGCCCGGTGCTTCTGCCCGCTGGGAGCGGGGCTCGGGCGGAGGCACCGAGCTGGAGGGCGTGGGGAGAAGGAGGCCGGGCTCGGCGCGCCCGGAGGGGTCGCAGCCTGCTTCCCGCAGGGTGGGGCCCCGGCAAGGAGCCCCGGGAAGTCTGCACCTGTCCGCGGGGACGGCGGGGCGGGGCCGGGCAGCTCTTTATTTACCTTGGGCTGGGGGAGGGAGGAGGCGCCTGGGAATCTGTACTCTCCCTTCAGTCTCTGCGTTTCTGCGGCTCCCTGATCTCCCACCCCATACACCCACTGCACTCTACGTTTAAACAAATTAATCCAGCCCTCTGCTGAAACCCCCAATTTTCCCCTTCCCAACTCCCAGTTTCTCCCGCCTACACGCCCCAGTGACCTCAGGCTGGGAGAATAATTCGTATTATTATTATAAACAAACTCGCTCTCTGAAAGCCTGCTTTCTCTGAGACCCGAGTAATTTCCATGGAGACCCCCTCCACCTCTCCTCTCCTCTTGCCCTCCCCCTCCCTGCCCCCCAAGCCTCTGACTCAGCTCTGCTTCTTCCTCAAAGGCCATCTCCCCTCCCTCCCTTCTCTCCCATTCTGCCCTCCCCATCTGCCTTCCCAGAGACAGTTCCTCGCATGCCCCATTCCCAGTGTCTATGCCTGCATGTGCAGCTCGCCTCTGTGCCAAGCAGCAGTGCCGGGGCTGACCTACCCCCCCCCCCCGCCAAGACCCCAACTTCACAGGGGGCTCTACCTGCCTCAACCCCATGAACCAGTCGCCCTCCTTACACCAGCTATGTTGTTGCATGCTGAGTGCCTCCTCATACCCAAGACTGGGTTCCGCGCACCCCCTTTGGAGAAGGGTCCTGCACCCTCAGCTCAGAGTCAGGAAACTTCCTGTGCATGGAGGATCTGTGAGGGCAGGTGGTTCAGGCAGCCATTTGACGCTAGAATCTGGCTTCATTTACCTGAGCAGCTCTTCCTCCAGACTTCAGCAGGTATCACCCTGTGCTCAGGCCAGGAGGCGCCCTCGTTGGCCCCTTGCTTTCCCAGTCAGCCCTCAAGCCCTGTTCACCACCCATTGTCTTCTGGGCTTGAATCCCTCTGCTTTTCATTCCTATTTTACATACTCTTCTCATCTCCTTCCACTGTCCTCCATCCCTCCTCTTGAATCTGTCTGCTGTCTTCCTACTGTTGGGTGCAGTGTCTCCATGTCACCCTCCTTTGTCTTTGCTCTCTCTGCTTCTGGGAGAACACACTCAAGTCCTTGTCATTACCTCTTCCCTCTATCCCCACCACATCTTCCTGTCAGACCCACTCACTGGTTCTTATGAAAGCTTCTCCTTCAAGGGAAGATTCAGAGATGAGTCCTCCTAGAAAAGTTCTGCCCTTGTTTGTAGAACTAATTGGTGAAAAGCCCAGATTCTACATAGAAATGCTCAAAGATTCCTCCAGACAGAATGGAGAATTGTTTTCCTGTGAAAACCCAGCCTCTGATCCCCATCACTCTCCATGTCAATAACAACAACAAATAAGGCCACGAGTGTGCTATTTTTGGTTGAGCTAAAACTGAATGTTTTGGTTCAGCATTGGTATTTCTCTCACCAAAAATTTGGGAACAGTAGAGATGTAGCAGGAAATGGAGACTTAGAAGGAGTGACTGATGGACCCAATAGGTGGCTTGTGGAAGGGCTGGTCCTAGTACATGGCCCCAGCATTCTATGGGAAAAGACTAAAGAGGGACCCAGGGAAAAGAAGGTGAGCAACTAACATTCTGGCCACTTCAGGGAACGAGGTGATTGCAGTGGACTGGAAGGGCCTGAAGGATGTGGATCAAATCAACATGGACAGCACCAGCTCACTACATGGGAGCAGCCTCCATCGGCCTTCTACGGAGGTGAGTCCTGTGAGTTCCGACACCCCAGTGCCAAAGGACCTTGGAGAGACCATCAAGAGCAAAGCCCCGTAGTCTCTAGCGCACGATCTCTGGATTCTCTTTCTAAATTCCATGGCAACGTCCCAAACCCTCCTTCAGACTGACACTTTTACAGAACATTCCACCCTGCTTTCCTGAAAATATATGGTAAACATTCCCCACTGACATCATGCTTCCCTGGGGCAACCTCAGGAAGGCCTGCCTCACTTTACACACTCCTAGAAGTCCCTCTGATGAAGGTGAGACTCCTCACACCCCTCAAATGCCTGGACTACCGTTTCCTCTCCTGTCTCCTACAGCAAACACGAACTGATTTCTCCTGGGATGGCATCAATGTGAGTGCAGCTGCCCCAGCCCTCTGTGGTCCACCCTGACTTCTCTTCCTTGCATCTTCCCGGCCCTCTATGGGACAGTGCTGCCCAGCTCCAGCAGCACTGTGAACCCTCACATGCTTCCCCTACCCCCCAATCTTCAAGGGTGGTTGGGGCTTGTGGCTCCTTGGAATCTTGAGGATAATGGTTTTCCATGTCACCTGCCCCAGTGCATATCCTCCTTCCTGGAAACCATGGACTCTTCCCCATATATAAGTCACCTTTTACCTTCTTATCCCTCTGCCCCGCTTCTCACATTCCTTATCCCAGCTTTCTATGGAAGACACCACGTCCATCCTTCCGAAGCTTAAGCGAAACTCTAACGCCTACGGCATTGGGGCCCTGGCCAAGTCATCATTCTCAGGTGAGACTCCCAACCCGGGAGGTACATTCAGTGGAATACTTACAGGTTCCTGGTCTCCTGTCGCTGCTCCTCAGGCTTAATGAGGACCCTCATCCCCACACCTCTGACTTGTCTGCCCTTTCTGTCGAGCCCCTCTGGCCCTCAAGCCTACCCCTCTTAAATGGGTCCTGGGGGATACTTGCGCCAATGGGATGGAATCCTGTGAGACTCCAGTGGGGATGGGGGTGTGGTATGGATATTGTGTGATATTCGGGAGGATGTGGGCAATGTCTGGCCCCTTAGGGATCTCAAGAAGCATGAAGGACCATGTGACAAAGCCCACTGCCATGGGTCAAGGACGAGTGGCCCACATGATTGAGTGGCAGGGCTGGGGGAAGACTCCAACCATTCAGCCACAACACAGCCATGAGGCGGTGCGCAGGGATACAGATGCCTATTCTGACCTCAGTGATGGCGAGAAGGAGGCGCGTTTCCTAGCAGGTACTTGAACCCTGAACCTTCAAGAGAAACATTTTGGGGATGGCCAGCAACTGATCCTCCACCCTGCTCCTCTGTGACAGGATTGTCTCCACGCATATCTTGGCCAGAGGCTAACAATTCCAATTGCTCTACTTGCAAGCATTTGGACTTGTTAATTCTCTAAGTGCCCTCACATATATTTTTTCTTATAATCTCAGAAAATGAGAAAAGCTAAGGATTTGTGGGTCCATGTAAAAGTGCTCTCTCTTCTACATTGCAAGATTATCCTATCTCTATACTTCTTTAATATAGGAGGAAATGTAGGGGCCTTGGGCTTTAAAAGGCTCTGCTTCTGCTTACATTTCTGGAAGTAAAAGAGGCTTTGGGGAATCTCTTCCACCCTTTGCCCATCAATATTTGGTGTCAACTATTCATTTACTGAACTCATTATTTGTGACAGCCACTAGATAATCAAGGGAATTGGCTTGGAGATGGTGGTATACAGAAGAGGAAAGCAGTATAGGTACAATGGCAGACAAATAGAGTACCTACAAGGGTGACAGAGCCCTAGTGGCAATATCAGTTGATGCCAAGGAAAAGGGACAGGTCTGGAAGAGAAGGGAAGAATCTTTGTGTTTGTGGTATAGATGGTGAAGGAAATACCAGCAAGAATGGAAGACAAACATGTAGGGGTAGGGTGATAGCGCAAGGTAGTAGCAGGGTAGGCTTTAGCTTCCTCCTGTCTTTGACTAGCATAGGGACCCCCAAAGTGTACCCCTGTCCACCATCATGTCCTCCCTTTTCCTTCCAATCCCATGGCCTTTCAGCTTTGTATCACTGTGGACCCACATTCCCTAGATTCTCTCTCAGGGATTTTCTGTTGGTCTTGAAAACTACCCCCTGGATTCCTCTGCTCCTGACCACCTAAAGGTTCAGTTGCTAAAAACCACCAAAGACAAGCTCCGCCAATCCCTAATTTTAATCCCTTAGGATAGCTCAGCAGAGGACCCCCAACGCTTTCTGCCAGGAATCCTATATCTGACTTTCTAGGAAGTCATCTGTGATGTTTTCCTTGGCTTGGAGCATCTACAGAGGCTGGGCTGTTCAACACAGTAGCCACTGGCCACATGTGGCCATGGAAAACATGCAGTGTGGCTAGTCCAGTTGGAAATCTGCTGTACCTGTAAAGTATAGGCTGAATAAGTTAAACATTATACAATATCTCATTAATAACTTTATATTGTTAACATGCTGAAATGATAATCTTTTTATGTATATTGAGATATGTTACTAAAACTAATTTCACTTGTTTCTTTTTAATCTTCTTAAATGTGGTTCCTAGAAAATTCATAGTGACATGGAGGCCTGCATTCTGTTCCTACTGACCAGCACTGCACTGGGAGTCCCCCCATGTCTGCACGAGTCCCTGAGGAATCTTGTGGTGACTTTATTTCTTCCTGCAGGTGTCATGGAACAGTTTGCTATTTCTGAGGCCACTCTTATGGCCTGGTCGTCCATGGATGGTGAGGACATGAGTGTCAACTCTGCCCAGGAGCCACTGGGCTGCAACTACAGTGATAACTACCAGGAGTTGATGGAGAGTCAGGGTGAGTGATGGCTTCAGAACCCAATCCCTGGGCCCGAGGAGCCCTCACTCTTCATCTGTTTTCCTAGGGCTTTTCTTGTTCCCCTAATTCGTGTGCTTGTGTCTTACCCTCTCTTCTCTGTGCTATTGTACTGCGATGTTCCCATGAATGATACTCAGGCCTCCTAATTCTCTCTACAGATGCCCTTGCCCAAGCCCCCATGGATGGATGGCCTCACTCCTATGTGTCCCAGGGCATGTACTGTCTGGGGTCATCAGATGCCTGGGAAGCAAGTGACCAGTCCCTCATTGCCTCTCCGGCCACAGGATCCTATCTTGGCCCTGCATTTGATGACTCACAGCCCAGTCTGCATGACATGGGGCCTCCCCAGCCTGCTTCAGGGTACTCTGCTCAGGAGCCTCCGGCTTTGCTGGGAGGAGACACTGACTGGGCACCAGGGGGCAGTGGGGTGGACCTGGCCAGAGGCCCTGCTGAGGACGAGAAGAGGCGGCTGGCTCCTGAGGAGGAAGAGGATGCTGGATGCCGGGACCTAGAGTCACTTTCCCCACGAGAAGATCCTGAGGCGTCCACTGCTCTCAGCCGGAAGGTGTCTGATGTCACATCCTCAGGTGTGCAGTCCTTTGATGAGGAGGAGGGCGAGGCCAACAACTAGCTTCCTCACTCCCCACGCCTACCCGAGGGGCATGGCTGCAGCCCATACCCTCCCTTGCCCCATAGCACAGCTGAGCCGGGCAGAAGACAGCGGGGAACCTGGGAGTTTCCAGCCCTTGCCCGCCAAGTGGAGGACCAGAAAGGGGTTTTATCTAGACATATCTAGAAACCACAGGTCCGGAACTGAGACCTGGCCGCTGAATGGCTATGAACCTGGTGAGGCTGTGGGAGAAGAGCTACAGAAGTGGACCTCTGGGTCTGTGCCCACGTGCATTGTGGGTACAGCAGTGCAGAGCGACCGTGCTGGAGACTGGATCTCAGTTCTTCACTCCCTGATTTCGTCTTCCAGGAGCCTTGGCTGTGCTGTTTGAATGCCTCCTTTCTCCATTTCACTCTTGCTTTTCCTGACTCTGTTTTCTCTGGCTGTGGGGAGCAGACCTCAGGGGCTACTGGATGTGGCTCAAGGGGCACAGCGGAGTGGCCTGAAGGGCACATCTGTGTCCGGGTGGATGGACAGTCTGCCCTCTATGGGGAATTTGGCTCCTGATCTCAGGAGGTGGGCCTGGCAGCTGGGTGCACAAGCATGAGTCTTTATCTCAAGGTCTGCCCAAAGACAAGAAGGTCACTGATGAGACCAAGAACAAACATGGCTGCTTGTTCTGGGCTCTTGAATGTCCTGTGGCTAAAAGGAGGATCCTAAGGATGGGAGAAAGCACTCACCTGGGGCTGGCTGCTCCAGCGCTGGCTCCCCTTCCTCCCTTCTTCCATCCCTTGTTCCGGGAGCCCAGCCCTGAGGGGAGTGAGGGGACACCAGTCTCAGATACACTGACCCGGGAGGGAGGCAGTGTCCCTGCCTGTTGGGGGAGCATGAGGGCTGGGTCTCCCCCTACCCAACCCTAATTCTCTGGAGCTGTTTACACTTTTCTCTTTGCCTTTTCTACATTTTTATAACTTCTTGGGGACTCAGGTTTGAGCCAGGTGGAGGGAGGAGTCTGGTGCTGTCATTGCCCTGGCTGGGCTGGGCTGGTGGCTACAGGCCAGGGTTGGCACTGGCTTCTACTGCCCCTTCATCAGCTCTTCCCAGGACTCCCAAGGAGGCCTCCCAGGAGTCCTGCCTCTGTCCCCAGGCCACCTGCTGGAGGAAGAGGGGGGAACCAGTGCGTTCTTCCTGGATGGGTTTGCCAGGAGGCTTCTCCACGCACACCAATTCCACTCGGGTTTGGAGTGGACCGTGGACACGCAGAGCAGCAAGTGAAGGCAGCACACCTATGAGGGGCAGGAGAGGGGGACTGGAACAAAGCTGGGGAGCATCTCACCCCTGCCACTCCAGAGGCACCAGCCCCTGGCACAGGTGGAGTTTGAGTTCCCCCCTTCCTTGTGCTCCTTTAAGCTCCTGCTCCAAGGGTCAGAGTCCTCCTGTGCTCTGTCAGGGGTCCTACTACTTGGTCCTCTGCCAGCGTGGGAGCACTGTTGTCCTCCCCCGGACCCTGGGTGCAACCCCACCCCCCAGCTTTGGAATGAGGTTGAGAGTTGGGGTGCTTCTGTTCATTTGTGACCCTGCCCCTCATCAAGTTCGTACTCCCCTATGCACAGGCACTCATGAGGTGCCACAGGGCAGGCATCTGGTTCTGGGGGAGGGGAGGCTGGCAACGCTGGGACTGGCTCTTGTAGGACATAGGAGTAGGCATGGCAAGCCAAGGGAGGTGAACAGTCCCTGACTTCACCTAGCGCTGCCTGGACGGGAGAAGATACCGCCGGGGTTTGTTCACCTGTTATTACTCAGCATACCAAGACCTTACTTCCAGGAGGTCTGGGAAGGGCCCGTGTGCCCACCTGGCAGCTGTCCCTGGCTCCAGACTCCTGCCCCAGGCCCCTGGCATTTTGCATGCTTACTCTGCCTTCCTGCCACTGGCTCCGTTTCCTCGCCTTGCCCAGCCCGCTCTACCAACACCATCACCTTCTCCCTTTTTTCTCAACCCCCCAGTGCCCCCAGTTCTTCCCCTAGATCCCACTGGACTGCAATCCAGGGAGTAGGTTTCATTCATTACAGTTCCTTTTTGCTCAGGGCCCTGGGGAGTGGGGAAAGGTAGACTAAAACAGCTTTCTTTCCTTCCTCCCTCCCTTTCCCAAGAAAGCCAAATGGTCCCTGATGAGAGGTGGCTAAAGATCAGAAGGCACCTAGTCGGGGTCACGCAGGAGCAGAGACTTGGTGTGGCAAAGGTGCTGGCACATCCCTGCGGGCAGAGTCAGGGCTGTCTGCCTTTAGCCAGGAGCCCTGCCCCACTGAAGAGGAAGACGGCGGTGCTGGTGGGCAGCTGTGTGCTCTGGCAGAGGGACTGCCTCTGGTTCTGGGGCAGGGTGCATGGGGCTTGCTTTTAGCCTATTTTGGGGGGTGGGGGGTGGGGGGGCATGTGCAGGAGGAAGCTGTGGGGGGGAAGGGTTGCTTTTCTTTTGGGGTGAAAGGCTGTGCAGCACGTTTTACAGCAGCTCTGGAGCAGGGCTGTTTTATATTCTTGTGAATGAAACTGCTCTTGCTAAATGATGGGGGGTGCACTTTCATTTTCAATTGACTTTATTAAATGAAAATCCAAACCTTCCATTCCTCCCTTTCTATTGACTCTCGACCACCCCCACCTTCCTTATCCTTGTCTTGAGGAGAGGATCTTGGGGAGTGAGTTTGCCATTGTCTCTGCCCCCACCTATACACCCCACATCCCCTCTTCCAGGTCTGAGGAATGGCCCATATTTATGGCCAGTCTTCGCATGTTTTCCTAATGTGATATCCCCCACCCAGGCCCAAGAGAGATTCTATGACATATATTACAGAGAGAATTGTATATAAATATATATAAATCCTATAGATTATATACACATGGGCATGGGCTTGATGCCCACTGTCAACCTCCTTCCCCAGGCCTCAGCATCTGTCTCTCTTGGCCTGGGGAGGTGGAAGAGATGTGATGCTGGGGAGGGCCAGAGGCTATGTTCAGTGACACTAAACAGAATGTGGTGGCATCCTCTGAGTGTGAGTGTCTTATTTGGGGGGATAGAGGAGCTGGGCACAGGGGAGGAGAACGGCAAAGAGAAGGTGGGACAGCAGAAGTAAATAAGGCACAGAGTGTGGAGCCAGGGCTTCTGGATGCTCAGAGTCCCTGGTGCCTCTTTGTAGGGAAGGCAGGTGAATGCCATGCACCACAACCTGCTGCCTTTTGGGGAGGGTAAGGATGGAACTGCCCCAAGGATGGGAAGCACTGGAAATGCCTGTGACCTTGAGGGTGCCCCTCTGAGTCTCCAGTCTGGAAGAACCAGAGGATCTCATGAACAGGGGTTGGCACTGGAGCAGCTCTAGGGCACAGTGACCCTTGGCAGGACAGATCAATCACAGCATTGGGAGAGGCAAATGCATTGCTAGGGTGTCACCTGGAAATGGGGAGAGTGATGTGAAATAGGAGGCCTGTCTGCCACGGGGAGTGAGAGGATACCGTGGGGCCATGACTGTTTGGCAATAAGACACCTGCCTCTTCCACACAGAGGCTTTGGCAAACTTTTCTTTGCCAGGCAGCTGCCCTTGGTAGTCTTTGTATCCACATCTCATGGCTTGAAGCAGGGCACAGAGGAGGGGGATGTGGTTGGCCTTAAATGCCCCTGGTCTGGCAATGGTAGTAGCAGCCAGGATAGGACCTGGGAATAGGCTGTGGGCTGGAGTGCGAGGCTGGGGGCTCCCAGAGAAGCAGGTGTGGATGGTCTGGAGACATATTCCTGGGTGGCCAGTCCACAGGGCCTGGAGGTGGTCCCATCTCCCCTTCCACTGTCATTTCAGGCCACTGTCATTCTGGGCCTCTCCCAGCTGCCCCCTTTAGGAACTGAAGGACAGGCAAGGGCAGGAAGACACTGGGACAAGAGCATAGGGCAACTGGGCATGAGGGGAGGTGAGTACCCCAGCCACACAGCAGGAAAACCCAGGAGGCCCCACAGACTATCAGGGCCCCTTCGAGGGTTGGAACCACCTGCCTGCCTGGGGATGGGGAAGCTGTCTAAATAACTGACTGAAACTCTTCCTTCCTTAAATTCTGACTCCTCCTTCAAGATTATTCTTATCACATTAAAAAATTCCTGGGAGGCGCAACTACCCCAACTGTAGGACCCCAGTCCCACACAATTCCATCCTGTGTTGTGGGCCTCTGAACAGCGGTCTTTATGAGCAGGGTCCAGGGTTGGTCAAAGAATCAGTTCATCCTCATCCTCCTCTTCATCAGTGGATCGCAAACTGGGACCCTGCAGGATGTCAGCCAGCTCCTCTTCCGGCTCTGGGCTCTCCACTAACTCCAGCTCCTCCGTTTCACACCCTGCCTTGGCTGGGGCCAGGGGCTGAGGGGGATGTAGGGATGGGGGTGGCACTGGTGTCTCTGGGGAGGCAGGAGTCAGGTCCCCTGTTCCAGGGGGGCCTGCAGTATCCTCAGGCAGGCTCCAGCCATCTTCAGGAGGGGGTGGGCCACCCGGGCTCTTCAGAGAGGTATTTGTGTTCCGGAAGCTGGCAAGGGGAGGGCGGAGCTGCACCCCAGATTGGGTGTGACCCTCGATAGCTTTCTGTAGCTGGGGAGGGGTGAGAGAAGGAAAGAGGTACAAAATGCGGAAGAGAAAAGATATGGGGGCGGAGAGAGAAAGAACAGACAAGAAAGAAAAAGGAAAAGAGGAATGGGAAAGAGGCAAGAAAGGGAGCACTGGAGAGAGACAACAGAAAATGGTCAAAGGAAGGAGACAGAAAGAAGAGCACGGCTGTGACGGAAACTTCCGCCTGCCTGCCCAGCAGTGCCTGTCAGGCAGCCCGTGGACCCCTTCCCTCCTAATGCCCTCCTCAGCCCTACCTGTCCTCCAACAGCACACTTCGGTGACTCACCCCGAACCCCGCTTCTGAACCTGTGCCATCTGTTGAGGACCACACAGCATCCCATGTGGGATGAAAACCTGTGTCCCCTTCAGGACTGTGGCCCTGACAGGCATTGCCGTCTCCACCTGTCACTTCCTGTCCCCACCTCCCCCAAACTCCACGTAAGAAACACAGAGGGGAACATATCCCTTCCCACGCCTCCCTCTTGTCCTGGGCCCATCCCTCCTCCTCTGCTCAACTGGGACCTATCCTTGTTACCTCCTCCAGCGCCAGGACGCCCCTGAGTTTCCCCATGTTGGTCACATAGGCGAGATGGAGGCCAAGGAGCGAGAAGAGCGTGTGTGTCTGATGGGGAGAGCACCGGTCAGTATACGCCCTATGCCTCCCTGGCCCTCCCTGCAGCCCTCAGCAGCCAGCAAAGCTCACCTTGTGCAGGGTGGTCTGCTCCACTAGCTGGAAGGGAGATGGGTCGATGCAGCAGCAATCAAAACAGACAGGCTGGCTCAGCTGCTCCTGCTCCCAGGCCTCGATCTGTGGGGCGGATGGGAAGGTCACCAGTATCAGGGCCTTCCTAACCTCAGACGCCTGGCTTCTAACCAAACGCACCCATCACAGATCCTCCTGACCAGAGTGCTACCCTTCTTCCCAGAGGATGACGCTGCCCTGTCCTCCCTCATCAGACCCCAAATCCATCTTCACCCTCAGGGCACCCAGAATATGGCCCCCTCTTTCCCCAAGTCTTCCACTCTTGGGCCCCCAAGCATTTATTTCCATCTTACCCTTCCAGCCTTATTTTCCTTGACTCCTGGGACCCACTTCTCCTGTTAAACCAGACTACTTTCTGGTCTTTCCTTTTGTCTTTGTTGTTCTCTCTACCTTGACTTCCTGTGCCTGTTCTATTCCCCGATTGGGTGACTTTCCAGATGCCCCAGTTGGACATGTTTTCCCCCTTCTTTAAATTCCTATGTACTTTGCAAGTCTTTCCTTCTCAGAAATGGCACTGGTCACACTCAACCTCAACCCTGTATGGCACTGGCCTTACCTCTGCTCACAGGAAGTGACTTCCTGAGGGTGCTTGGCATTAGAAGAAACCTGCACTGCCACCTCTTTGAAAATAGATCTCAGGGAACCGTTGTTGATTTGAGCAGACTTACTGGATCACATGACTTAGTTGACTTCAGCAAAACCATTTGAGGTTTGTTTTTGTCTCTGTCTATGATGGAAGCATTAAGGCACATAGGCCAGCTGTTGTCTGACTCCAGATATGCAAAGGGAGACTCCCAAGATTCCAAAGAAGCCCTTATGCCTCTGGCTTTCATAACTGAGTCTAAGATTTTCTAAAATTGTTCTCTGGTTAGCACCTTCTGAATGATGTAGTACTTTGTGTATTTACTTTTCCAGTTTATCCTGTTTTATACCTTTAAGGTTCAGAAAATATGAACAAAGTCTGTCCCCTCCTTCTAGGATCAGGAGTGTAATCCACAGAAGGATCCCTCCATCTGTCCTTTCCTGATATTTCTGGACCCCATCATACCTCCTCTAAACTCTCATCCTTCTGACTAATGGTTCACGCAGGGATTCACCAGGTATTAGCACAGGACAGATGACTCCTTGGGAGGTATGTCACTGAGGGACTTTGTGTGTATGGGTTGGTCCGTTATACAACCATTCTGACCTCTCAGCTTCCATTCTTGCTCTTTCCCTAGGAGCAACAGCAGCAGCAGCAGCAGCAGCAGCAATTTCAGTGAACATTTACCAAGCTCTCCCTTTATACAAAGCATTACTCTGCTTTACATGTCTTAGCTCACTGAAGCTTCCCAACAACTCTACCTTCATCTTCATTTTACAGATGAGGAAGCAGAGGCACACTGTGTTATAGAGTCTGCCCAGGACTCCACAGGCCATGACTGGTGGAACTGGGTGTCTGGCCTTGTGGGCTAACCATGTTCTGGGTTCAGCCTCAGCTTGTCCAAGGGGAGAAAGATGCTGTTGTTGGATCTTGTAAAAGGCTCAGCACCCATTAGAAACCAGAGTTCTAACTGTGGATGCTCTAAACAGAATATGCAGAATTAAACAAACCATAGCAAAGACTTTGGGAGAAATTCTTTCAATGATGACTTCTTTCCATGCTACTCCCCATACTGTTTTTGTCAGTATCAACATCTTGGTTGACATCAAGTTGTCATCTGATCTGATCTGAGGACTGTGCTCAAAATATCCCGAATTTTGAGTCCTATTAGGTCTTATCCTTTCAAAATAGCTCCATGGGTCACATGGGAGTTGGTAGCATCATAAAGTCTTCCTTATATAGAAATATATAATTTATCTTCTTTTTATACCTGGCTGCACTTTGTGTCTTGATTGAAATGTTCTATCAATGACACAAAGAACCAAGGAACATGCAGCAAGGAGCTCCACACTAATAAATTAACTGCTTTTCATGCTTTTTGGTGCATGTTAAATAAAATAGACATTGGCTACTAAACAAGGAACTACTCTATTGTAGTATGGTTCATCTGATTTCTGCTTGTAGCAGAAGAAAAGGCTCTTTTTTCCCCCCATGGGACCATCTATCTGGGTCTTCCATAAGTCATTTATGAAGCGGTGGCAAGGGAGGAAGTTTCATTTCTTCCTTCCTTTCCTTCTTTTCTACTCCAAGCCCCTCCTCGGAGCTTGTAGCATTTCAAATCTTCAGTGCACATTTATTCTAGATGTCCAAGAAGATGTTTCTTTAAAAATAGTATCCACCATAGCTTTTTTGTCAGCTACATACTTCAAAAGCTCTATCTTCGAAGCCAATTTGCATTCCCTTTAATACATGTAATAGTTGCTAATGGATTTTCTCTGTTCCTCTATGACCCCTGGGGCCTGTTCTGGTCAGGATCCTTGATCACCGCTTCTGATAACTGATCACTTCCTTCTGATCACTGCTCCATATTCTGTCCATGCCTCACATCCAAGCATACTCAGGATTTCACTTTTCTCTTGTGGATTTGAGAATGACTTCTATTAAGAAAGAGGGATCTGTCCTCATGAGTCTGTCATTATTTTCCTCCCATTTATAGTCCTCTGCAGCCTCAGCACAGACATTTTCCAGTGGTCCCCTGTCCCAGGGCCTGATGGGCCCAGTGTAGTAACCTCCACCAGGGAAGTTTCCCTGCTAAGAGTTTTGATGCGATTCTCTCCATTGTTAGGGTTTAGTGCTGGCCCTGGTTATTTCACCCCAGGTAAATGCCATCCTGCTTGAATAGCCTCTGCCTGGTCTGGATCATCCACTTCCAGGTCTAGGGCATGATGGTCCCGTCTACACATGAAGTTCAGAATTGTTCCCTTCTGCAAGGATTCTGTCCTTCTGAGAACACAGTGTGTCCCATCATATGCCTGCCACTTTCTCCATAGCCTTGCCTTTTTCCAACCCTGCAGAGTACTTTCCCACCTATCTTTTATTCTTAAAATAACACAATAGAGAAAGAAGGGGAAAAATAGCAATACCTTCATGGGATAGAACAAATCATCCCAGGTGCTCTTTCTCTTACTTACCTCTTCAGGTAACATGTTATCCACTAAGTCCGTCGAATCCTAGAGAAGAAAGACACAAGACAAAGTTTTTTTCCCCTTTCTCCCAAGCTAGCTACATTCTCATCTCTCTCTGGCCGGGACCATAGGAGCCTTCTTCCCAAGACCTCATTCTTGGTAGGATCTCTGCTCTCCGGATTAGAGACCATGATTTCTCATCTCTCAGAGATGAGCCCTTCCCCCGTCCTTCTCCAAGCACATCATCTCTCACCTGGGTTGTTTTCTTCTTTGCTGGTCGAGCTCGGCCCAGCAAGCAGTGTAGCAGGCACTGAAAGATAGAGGATCTTTGACCTGAAAGGAGTGGTGGAAGTGACCAGATGGAGAGAGTGGCCAGGAACTCCCCAGTGTCCCTTACAGAACTGCACTTCCCAGGTGCCTCAAGCCCAGGGACACCTCTCCACTACCCCTGCTCCCATTCCCTGGGACAGAAATATGGAGAATCAGCCAATGCAGGCTGCTCCGGCCACCCCGTAGCCTCATACGTGGGCAGAGGTGGTGCTGAGGTAACCTCCAAGGCATGAGTGAAGGGGCGTGCAAGGAGGTCTTCACCTGCAGGTTCTGGGGCTTCGGGTGACTGTTTGTGGCCAGGCAGGGGTCCATTGGGCTCCTCAAAAGATGGGGTAACACTAGGAAAGGGTGGAAGAGGAGGAGGAGGAGGCGGCAGCTGAAAGAAACAGCAGAAATCCTTGGTGTCGGGAAAGAGGTTTCTTCACGCTTCACTCCCTTACCAGTTGGCATCCTAACTCTATTCCTCCCGGGCTCAGAATCCCTAGATCCTTTTGAATTCTCATAAATACACATCTTGACGTTATCTCCTTAACTCAGAGACACTAGTCTCTCCAGCACCCAATCCAGAATTGTGTCTTTTTCACTTGTCCGAATGTCCCTTCCCTCTTCCTACTTCCCTTGCACCTGACGCAGCCCAACCCAGCCACCACCAAACGCTGATGGCGATGGCGCCCCCTGCCGATGCCTTTCTTTCCTTTTCCCTCTCGCTCGGGCTCCCTGGTCCTTCCCGGCTTGGTCACCTCGGTCTTGCTGGACAGGTCCTCATCTTCATCCTCATCCACAAAGGCGAAGGACTCTGGCCGACCCCTTGGCGCGCCGCCCAGGAGCCCGTCCCCCGCTAGCCGTGCCTTGCCATCGTAGGGCAGCTCGGACAACTTCAGCGCCAGGTCCCGGGCTGCCCGCAACCTCCGCTCCGGACACAGGTGGCGCTGCAGGAGGGACTGCAACTCGGAGCGCTCCACGGACCCCAGCAGGATCCTGGAATCTGGGAGGAGATCCACGCTCAGCCGAAACCCTGCCCACACCCTGCCATGCTCCGAATGATCTGCCGGGGCAGCGAACCCCAGAGCGCCTCCCTTTTCCAGAGTTTGCCCTCTTGTTCCCCGAAAAGCATTTCAAAAATCCTTCAGGGTTAACCTCACTGGCTCTTTTATTTCACCCATTGAGCACTTGTAGACCCAACTGGTAGCATACTAATTGATGCTGAAGTGTACTTACTTGGACACTGCCCTTATACAGGCAATGGAAGACCTTGATATTAAAATACGCTGATCAATGCTGTCCACATAGAATGAAACAAGGAATGCCAGCAAAAAGGCATTGTAGAAGGTACTTAGAAGGTGTCTGAGCTTAGAGGAAATATTTGAGTTAATAAAATTAGAAAATTTTGGATGCTCTGAATATCTGATATCAGAACTGGCAATCTGAATGCCTCCAAATAACGCTACGTGATTTTTATCTATTGCACGAATTCAAACACTAGAGAAGTATGTATGTATGTATGTATGTATGTGATACAGGGTCTCACTATGTAGTTCAGCCTGGACTTCAACTCACAATGTGTCTCAGGCTGGACACAAACTCACAGCCATCCTCCCGCATCACCCTCCCGAGTACAGGCATGCACACTACACCTGGCTAGAAGTATTTATTGACTATCCAGTAAATACTTAGAACAAAACACTCTGGAAATATAGAAGTTATTGTTTCTACCTTCAAGGAATACTCAGTTTTGTGATGGAAACAAGACAATACATGTACAAAGCACAGTAAGAAATAATAAAAAGCAGTATGAAGTGCCAGAGGTGGGCAGGAAGGATGAAGAGAGAGAGAGAGAAATGTGGAATCATCCTTTACTCAAATCATCCACTCCTACATAGGGAACAGTTTCTTGTCTTCTTTAAGTTGGGCATTGAGAACAGGTGTGATTTAGTTAAGTAGTCAAGGGCCATGAGATTTACAGCTTGCCCTCCTTATGCATTCCCTATTTGTGAACTCATCTACTCATCAAAATATACATTTGGAACCCAAAATCAATACCAGAGGTGCCTTTGCTGTAATTCACAGATATGTGCAAAGCGACAAAAAAGTTGAATTGCCTGATGCTTGTGTTCCCAGCTGGAATGGAACAAAACAGTGCCCAGCCCTCTCATTTCAGCTTGAGTACTGTAAAAGAGAGTTCTTTTTGCAGCCTGTTTAATGCTAGGCTTTTCACATCTTTGTGTTTTGTGTTCATGCTTTTGCTGATTAAAACAGCCCCAAATGTAATTCTGAAGGGCTGCCTGGTGTTCCTGAGCATATGGAGGCTGTGCTGGACCTCACTGAGAAAATATGTATGGTAGGTGAGCTCCATTCAGGCATGATTATGTGCTGCTGGCTGTGAGCTCCATGTTAACACATCAGCAGTATCTACGGAAGAAGGCATTTTAGAAAGAAACACACATAAATGAGATTATGTATTGACTAGTTGATGAAAATGGTGTGATAAGAGGCTTGGTCCCTGTATTTCCCCTAGAAGTAACTGTTTATTACAGTGTCCAGTAACTCCACATTCATGGTGACTTTATGAACACAGCTGCCTTCAGTATTGACAATCAATTGTCTTTCTTTGGTTAGATTTTTAACTGTTTTCTTGTACACGTGATATATCTGCATTTTTCCTTCCTTAAGGAACATAATATCCCTGAGGAGTATACAATGGGCCTCCCATAGTAGGTTGGTTGGTCCCTAAAGACAAGCCCACACCAGTGTCCTCCACTTCTATGGAACCCCTGTTGAGATCAGCAGCTCAGGAATCCATTTCCTTCCTTCCCACTGACCTTTTGAATCAACCAGTGGTAAAGTCTTGACTGTGGTGGCCTGGAGCAGGTTTTGCAGTTCCCCATATGTGCATGAAGCTGAAACAAACTTCACATCGCGTACCATGATGTCCTCAACAAAGATTGTAAATTTGCTATGGAAGGAGAAAGCACAGTGGGTTAGTCCCACCATATGCCTGTGCCTTTGCTGTCTCTTCTATTCCTCCCATGAGGTTAGACATGCATCAGTCACCCACAGTATTTATGCGCACGGAAACAAGAAACTAATGAAAACCAGTTCTTCCCAACATTGGCCCTGACCTCCTCTCAGCCTCAGAACCTCCCATCCCCCAGCAACTCTGAGCTAATTCCAGCTAATGGCCCTGACCTGAGCTGCTTCCAACCGAGGTCAGGCAAGTAGGGCAGCTTCTTGACCTGGATGATGCTGTCATAGAGGGAAGGCTGCAGGCTCTGAGCCACCATGTTGGCCAAGATAACAGCCACCATCATGGGTAGGATGTGAGCAATCTGACCCGTTAATTCGAAGCAAATCACAGCTGTGGAGACTGTGTGGGACACGGCACCTGTCAGGGCCGCTGCTCCTAGAATGACACAGGAATATATCAAGAGGTTATGGCTGCATTCCTGGCATGAAGGGTACCTGGGGAAGTGGTGGGAAGGATGTAGAATGGGAGGCAGGACCTTGGTCAGGGACAATACTTCTATCAAGACTAGGAGCTAGCTTGTGACCTGCTAGAAAATTATGCTTTTGATTACATTCTATAACATTCAGTAAATCACAAAATGTTTGCATAAGCCAAAATGCCCTTTTGTAATATGAAGATAGCAATGTCTTACCCATTCTTTGTTTTTGAAAGTTTGTATCATATTTAACTGAACTTTTTAAAACACCACTATGGCATTTTACCTTGTGCCTTCGGTGTTTATGCCAACAGTAAATGAATGAATAGAGTAAAAACCCAAGAACTGTGCTGTGGACTTGGAGCAATGAGACCTGCATCAGATCTTGAGTCTGTATTTTAACAGTATAAATAGAATTTAATTGCTCTGGAATCTCTGCTGTCATCTGTAGAGTAAAGAGGTCATTAAATGAATTCTATAGCCCTTGCAGATCTAACAGTTTATGATCCTATAAGCTCACTGAAGATAGAATCTGTCTTGTTTGTTTTTCAGTTATTTTCTCCGTACATGCTCTTTTTGGGGGGGGGGGTACCAGGGATCGAACTCAGGACCTTGCACTTGTGAGGCAGGTGGCAGAACCACTGAGCTAAACCCCCAGACCCTGAGTTATTTTCTCATCAGCCCAAATATGAGGTAGATATCCTGTGGGAAAAATATTGGAGTAGGCATATGTGAAAATGTAACAAGAAAAAGTTACAAAAGGAAAATATTGAGAGGAGTAACACTACTGAATGGTGCACACAAAATACCTCAGAACAAGCACCATCACAGGACCTGTGTACAGGGACATGCAGATCAGGGAAGATGCAGATGGACAGCCAAGAGGTATGAAGTGGGGGAATAAGAGTAGATGCTAACTGCTAACAGCGGGTTTTACAAAGAAAACATGGTGAGGAGTAGGTGCCATCTGAGCCATACAGCTGGTTTACTGGTTCTCATCCATGGGAGGGTGTGACCTTAGACCTTATGGGATTTTGGCAAAGATGGGAAACAGGGAGGAGGCATAGTAATTCTGAGGATTATAATGGTCACTTTTAGAATAACTCCATTTCAGGAGTCATGTAAGAATGAAGAAACTAAGGCTCAGAAAAGCAGCTGACTTGCTCCATGGTCAGTCAGGCAACAATTGGCAGAGAAAGCCCACAGTTCATGTTCCTCAGCTCCTAACGCTTGTGTTTAGTCTCTATCAATGTCAGTGCATCTCAGGGTGAGTGCACCTGAGCAATCACCTGCCTTGTTGGTTCCATGATTCTTAGCAGGAAAAGAAAATCCTTACTAGACATCCAGACATAGTCCAACGTGTTTTCATCCTTATTTCCTCATGTGAGAGCCCCATTATCCCTTTTCCACATGAGGAAACCAAGGTTCAAAGAAGTTCAATAAGAGATCATGAGAGCCAGAGCAAAGGGTTGAATATTTGAATAAAAGGTGAGTTCAACAGCATTAAATCAAAACCACACTGTGTATTCTGGATTTAAGATGTATTAAGAGACTTTCATTGTGGGAATTTGGGATTCTCAAAGTTTGGTTACTGGAGGGTGGGAATGTGGCTCACCAATTACTGCGTAGCCCCCAGGCAGAATTTTGTAGATAATGTCATCAAATAAGATACCCTCCGGGAATAGCATGGCCATGATTTCTCCCACCAACCTTCCAAATGCAGCTCCTAGAGGGAATATAAAAGAAAGAAAAATCCTGTAAAGTCCAAGTTTCTCATTCTCTGCTTCCAAGATAATCTCTGTTAATTGATAAGACCAAATGCAAATTCCCAGCATCCCAGGTATCTCCTTGCTTCCCCAGTACCCTAGATTGCAGCTACTAGTAAGACACCACCAGAACTTACCTAATACAAACACAGGCATGAAGCCTCCACAGGGAATGGGCATAGTGGTAGCTACGATAGACATCCAAAACTAGGGTAGAAAAGAAACATTAGAATATCCTCCTTACTCGCCCAAAATACACCAGTGGACTCCCTTCTTGCTGTCTCCTCCTTCCCACTTTAGGCGACACCACAGAAATACTGGGAAAGGGCCAGGGATTTAGCTCAGTGGTTCTAGCGCCTGCCTCTAAAGCACAAGGTCCCGAGTTTGATCTCTGGTACCAAAGAGAAATACTGGGATGGCTAATCCTTCTGGAACCCGTCCTGTCTGTCTCCTTTTTTTCAGAACCAAAAACCTTGGCACTCTCAGGCTGAGAGATCATCAAAGACAACTGGATAAGAAAATATAACACAAATCCTTCCCACTTTGAGTGACTGTGTTTTCTTTTTGGCACACTCTAGAGAAAGGAATAGAGCCCCAAAAGATCTCTCTTTCACTGCCCCAAGAAGATTCCAGATTACTGTACTTACTTAATCCAGAAAGTTTCCTCCTGGAGAGTAGCCTGAAACTCTTGAAGCTGGAGGAGTCCTCTCCTTGGTTAGGCAATGTTTTTGAAAACGAACCCCCAGGTCTAAGTGGCAGACACTGAAGTCTTAGTGACTTACTGTGTGACTTTATAAAGTCCACCAGTGTGGCAAACCTCATAGAAGAAGCTTGTGGGAAGAGTGTTGTGCCTGTGCCATTTGCTATCACATCAAACCACCTTAAATGAAGATCAAAAATTAGATCTGGAACGAGGAGTGTAACTCAGTGGTAGAGCACCTGCCTGGCATGTGCTAGGCCCTGGGTTCCATCCCCAGCAGCCTCCCTACACCCAAATCTGTTCTTGATGTAGTGAGAGGGCCAAGTGAGAGCCAGATTAGTCAGATAATATGATAGAAAATATCTCCAAGGCCAATTTCATCAGGCAGTATCTTAATACAAACTGAGTTGTAGCAAATGCAGGGTGTATGTTCTCAGGCAAAGAATGCAAAAGAATTGAGAAACACAATGGAAAAGCAATAGTGGTTGAAGTTTTGAAATATTTGCCAAAGAAGTAAAAGTATGATACATAACAAATAAACTAAGCAATAGTTTTACATACATATATACTTCTAAAACAAATCAACATTAGAAAAGGATCTCAAACTAATTAAGTACAAGATGATAATTGAAGCTCAAACAAACTGACAAGATTAAAATATTTACAATTTTGAAATTGCTCCAGTTGCTCTGTAAACTAATGGGAAATAAATTTTTTAATTTTCTAATTCTCCTCAGCCAAGGCTGAACTCATGAGGTAGTAATGAAGATTTTCAGAAAGCATCATCCCAGAAGTACTCAAATGAGGCAAATCATACTTCTCCATGTCAGAATATGACTATGTCAAAGAATTAAGAATGCAAAATTAAATGTCCAAGATGAGAATGTAGACTGAGATTTCAAGGAAGAGAACGTACCTTGTGATTTCTGCTTTTTCTGCACTGGCACAGTGCTCAGTAAATGTTGGTATGATACAGGAAGGAAGGAGGGAGAGAAGGAAGATGGATCATAGATTGGTCAAATAGCATTCCTATAGAGCAAAAAAGCTCCTCAGAGCTAATATTTACTAAAATACCCAACAGTGATGCTCATCCCGGGGAACGTGTTTGAAATGAAGACAACCAGACCTCTCAGAAGGCCACGGCATCAGGCTATCTGGAGGCATGATTCTAAGCACTTGTAGGTTAAGCTTCTTAAGTGATTGTGACATTTAACAGTTTGAGACTCCTTGAACGATCAGACACCAACTCTTTGTGGTAAGTGCATAAAAACCATAAGAGATTTTATAGGCTAGGGTTAATCTGAAACTCCAGTACTACAGAATATAGGTGACTAATGGGTCTGATTTCAGAGGAAGAGCTAGATTATCCTCCAAGATACGTGTGTGAACAGAGTGCAGATTAGAGAGCATTGAAGTCATCCACTCCTATAGCACAAAGAATGGCACATGAGATAAGTGAACTCTTCTAGCTAATGGCACATGAAAGAACAGACCCAGAAGTGATGTGGAAAACAACTCCTAAACACCCAATTCTGGTGGAAAAATGGGAAACTAGAGACCAACTATCATAGATTCTAAATATAGACTTAGACCCCTCACAAGAGGAGTGATGGGAAGATCAGTGGAAAGAATTCTACAGAACATCAGGCTGTGCTGAAAATTAATGATACTTGGTTGAACATTAGACTTATTAAAGGGGAAATGGAGAGGCTGAAATTATATTTGTATTCATTATAAATAGCTTGACTTATAACACAACGATTGCCATGTCTTGAGATAAAGGAAGACAGAAGTTCCCTTCATCAATATTATGAAAGAGCTGAAGTGAGAATCTCACCAGCCTACACTGACTGCCAGAAAACTTCAGGGACTGAATTTTAAATCTGGTTGTGGAAAATAGTTTTAGACCCTGCAATGGTTTGGATATGCTGTGAATGTTTCCCTGAGGCTTCATGTTTTGAAATTTAATCCCCATTGTGAGGTAGAAAAAGGGTGAAAACTTAACCCGACCGTAGGGTTCAGAGATGGAGCTTTTGGAAACCAGTTAGGATTAGATTAGGTTGTTAGAGTGGAGTCTTTGTGACAGACTTTCCTGGTGGCTTCACAAGAAGAAGGAGAGAGAACAGAAGAGGACATATGTAGACAAACGTGTGTGCTGTGTCTCCTGACACAGATGTAATGCTCTGCTCTGCCTGAGCAGTGGCAAGAGCGCCATTGCTAAATGTGGCTCCCGAACGTTGGAGGTCCTAAACTGTAAGCCAAAATCAACCTGTTTCTTATAAAGTAGCCTGCCTCGGGTACTTCATCATTGTAACAAAGAACAGACTAATACATTCACTTTTATATTTTAATTTGGCTCTGTGTTCTATTTTGGGAAAAATAAGGGTATGATTGTGAATTCAATGGTTAGGTAGTGAAAATGCTAGGAAACAGTAATAAGTAGTGATATGTATTTGTAGCAATGAATGCTTTTATGGATATAAATATTATAGAATATTACAGACCTACTGCAAACTGCTCAGCCTGCAATATAGCCCAGGAAGTATGGTTTTTCAGTTAGAAATTAATCATAGAAATATACAGTTGAATCCTTCTATATCATCCAAGTAGGGCTCTCAAAATAAGCCTTAATCTATGAAGTGGAATGCAGATACATAACTAGAAATCTGGGACGATGGAATGAGGTGAGGGGGAAAATATACAGTATTTATTTCTACAAAACTTTAGAAAATCTTGACATTTTAACAATGGGTTTGTAGAGTGAATGACCAGTATGGAAGCTAGGATTTATAAATTGGAGGTGAGAACTCCACAATGAAAGTTCACAAATCAAATTCCTAAAAGACACTGAGAACTTCTTTATGAAAAAATGTTAAATATTTTGAGGGTAGAAATAAATAAGGAATAAATTATTGAAGTAAATGTCCCAAAATATGGAAGCTATAGATCCAATTAACCCACTTTGAGTGGCCCAGGGAAGAATATACACAAATACAGCTTCAAGAAAGTCACACAAACCCTGAGAGTATAAGTCACAGAGTTGAAACCTGGTATGTGAAACATCTGGTATCTCTAATCTATTATATAATCATTGAAGAGTATGTGAAATGAGTAGCAAGAAATCTTTTTATGATACTGTGGATTGAACCCAGGACCTTGACACTGACCTACATCCCAGCCCTTTATAATTTTGAGACAGGGTCTTGCTAAGTTACTAAATTGTCCAGGTTGGGCTCAAACTTTGGATTCTCCTGCCTGAACCTTCCATAGTAGTAGGATCACAGGTGTGAGTCATTATGTCTGGTTTTAAAATAATTTTTTCAGCTGCAAGCATAAGATTAGTCAAAGATCAATGATCAAGTATTATGTACTTGGCACACACGTGCTTAATAATATTTATTGAACAAATTAATCCATTGGATTTTGAAATAATAATCTAATTTAGTGACTCATATACTGAAAAAAATGCAGATTCATAAAAGGTATAACAAATAAGTTAACAGCAAGGCATTCAAAAGTGTGAAAGTTCAGTGTGGACAGGCATGTATGAGAAACATAATACACAGAGGAACATGTTGGATTATTTAGGCAAGCCATACTATTAGGAAAAGGGAAATCATCAAAAAAGAACAAAAAAGGCAATCAGCAGCTGTGACAGATGTCACAACCGAGGAGGGAAATAAAAAATGTCTTTGTATGAGGCAGTAATTGAGAAGGCTAGAAAAAGAACAGGTGTAAAAAAAAGGTCAGCTTTTGTTTCCTAATTGAAGTTAGGAAAAAATAGTCTGAGCATGGAAAAATTCTCATAGCCTCACTACCTAAATAGAGACTAATGAGATGACATTTATAAAAATTATTTAGAGTCATTAAAAAATTGATTTAAATATTCTCATCTCTTTTAAAATCCCAGAAAAGAGATTACTCACAGAATGGGGGGTGGGGGGGATGTGTGTGCAAATCACCTGAAAATGAATCAAGTACATGGATAATGAAGCACCTAATTACCCAACATGTGGGGGGAACTTGGCTAATTCATGTGAAGTTTTGACACACTTATCTATATTGCTAAACTCTGCCTTGCCTCGTTTACTTGACTGTTGTGATGCTTTAATAAGAGAACAAGTAGAACCATTAGAAGGGGTATTATAATTATGCCAACATCACTAAGTTGATATGAATGGAGCAACTACCCCAGATATGGTTCTCATCTAGAGATGGGCAACTTATTTATGCCATGGCATCCTAGTGACTTCTTTTTAGGATGGATAAAGACCAGATAAGTTCTTCCCCTCCTACCTCATGCAAATCCTGGGGTATCATGCTAGATTGAAAACAGAGGTTTGGGGAACTGCAGTGGGGTGTGGTACCTTCATGATGAAGAAGAGAAGGATGATGATGACAACGTTGACTCGGGGGTGGATCCATACAGCCGACTGGCCCAGGATTTGGGGGTCGCCCTCGTGCTTTACCCATGTATTGTTGTCAAACAGGGTGCTGATGGCTTCACGGGGCATCAGCTGTGCGGGGAAGAAGCAGAAGGTGTAGGTTCTCCAGGGATCTAGTGCATTTCCTTTTTTAGAGAACTCATTCTCCAACCTCATTATTCAAGGGTCCCTTTTGCCCTTTGCTCAGGGAGGGAGTTGATCCTGGGACAAAGCCACAGAAGCTGAAAGCCTTAAATGTCCTCTTCCTTCCTGGCTTAGGAACCTGGTCAGGTGCAATGACCTGAAGCCACTCTCAGGTTCCCCTTGAGCTGACCTCTCCAGCCATGAACTGGCCCATTCCTGGCGGAAAGGTGAACGAGGCGATGACAAAGGTAACAATTCCAGGATACAGCAGGCGGCTGAAAAAGAAACAGAGTTAACCTTCTCCCCAGCTTAGCCAACCCCAGCGCTGAACTCTGGCAAGCTGAAGTTTCCTGTAGTCAACCAGAGGCACAATTCTTTCAACAAAGAACATTCTCTTTGCCAAAAAATATAATCTAATCTTTATAGGGAAGCCAATGCACCTTGCCCCCTACCCACAGAGCTCCCTACTGTTTTAATGCATATCACCTAAAGGCATCGAATATCTTTCACAAAGATTAAAAAGGGAGGAACTCTACAAGAAACCAGAAAGCAAGTAGGTAGGGCAAGGGAAGGGCAGTGACTCACTGCTTAGCAAGAAACTGGCTGAGGGCCTTGTGCTTTCGGACACCGAGCATGACTTGGCGATGCAGGTACACAAATACAGCTCCCAGGAACCCACAGCAAATTCTGAGGGTGTAAGTTACAGGGTTGCAAACTTACAGACATGAAACGCACATCCCTCAGACCCAGTGACTGCAGGGAAACGCACCAGCCCTCACCTTTCCTTTCTACACCACTCCCCTAGTGATTTACACCTTACCTGTGCCCCCTCACCTTCTGCCCAGCTTGGGTCCCTTCCAACCCACAGCCTCACCCACTCCCTGCTCACCACACCCACAGCAGGTGGCCCCACTGACCCAATGACAGCAAAGGCTGGGAGTTCCTGTAGGTCAAAGGGGAAGTCCATTCGGAAATTGGTTCGGAACAGAGCCGTGATGGTGACTACAGGAGGAAAAGGCAAGAATGTCGGGAGGAGAGTCACAGGAAGCCACGGATAGGGAAAAGAGGTCATCAGTTTCAAGGGTCCCTTCTTTCCTTCCTCTAGTCCCACTTTCTCTTCTCTTTAATTTCCTTTTTTCTATTCACAGACCCCTGCCCCCCAACACACACACACATGCTCCTTGACCTAGATCCTTGTCCTATGCCCTTGGGCTTGGTCCCACTTCCCAAGTCCTGCCCTCCATTTCTCTTCTGATATGCCCCCCAGAGCTTTCTTCCTCACCCCTTCTTCACCAGCATTCCCAAGTCACACCTCCTTTGGCCCTCCCTGTTACCAGCATCCTTGTTCCACACCGCCAGCACTCGGAACACAAAAGCACTGAACGTGGCTGCAAAGAATCCTCGCCAGTAGTTCCGCACGGCAAAGTAGGTAGAGGTGACCTCAATGCTGAAGAGCACACCTATGGGGACAGGGAAGCTGGGTCAGGAACACTCACCCTCCACCCCATCACATGGACCCGAGGGGCTTTTGCTACAGCTCCGGTCTGGGGGAAGCAGTAGTGGAAAGTATGATCTCTTGGTCTTCCATGCCGTAAGCCACATACTACTCAGACTGAATTTTATCTTTTTTTTTTTAAGTCAGACCAGGGATGTGGTTCAGTAAGATACAGAGAAGATGAGAAACGGATGGGCCTTCAACCCCCAAACCCAAAACATAAGGTTCCAGTGGCCATACCCTCAACACCCCTTAATACATATGGTTGACTGGGGTTCACAACTATCGGGTGTCCATGGAGTTTTAAAGGAAGTGGAAAAATTCTGCAGAAAAGTGAAAAGAGAGGACGCTTCCAGAGCAGGTGCTCAACAGAGTCACCATGAAGAGCTCAGAATTTGCTGGTTCTCTTGACAGCCCCCTCCAACCTGGCTACCCTCATGGGGGGGACTTCATGAGAAATAAGAAAGAGAGGACAATACTCAATATTCCATGACATGAAAGCAGAGGAGTCATCCAAATTAAAAAAATACAGAAAACCAGACTTAAAGGAACTAAAGGAAAGGGGGAAACCAAGGCTAGAAGAAGACAAAAGCCATTATATTTAAGAAGGGTGAGTGAGGTGAAAGGAAAGCCAACTAGAAGTCCTCACTAGCACTGTTTCTGAGAGAAAATGAGGAGGAACAGACAAAAGCAAAGTGTGGTGGGAACAAAGACAGGAGTGCTGACGAAGTCCTAACAAACAGTGTTCAAGAGATGCCAAAAAACTCACAAAAAACAAACAAACAAAATATATGTATATGTATCTTTAAACACAACAAGAACGCAGCCAGGCATGGTGGCCCAGGCACACCTGTTATCCCACCACTTGGGAGGCTGAGGCAGGAGGACCATTTCAAGTTCAAGGCCAGCTTCAACTACATAGTGAGTTCAAGGGCAGCCTCAACTACATAGGGAGACCCTGTCCCAACTCCCACCCCAATACTAAGAATAAAGGGGTTGGATTTTGATTCAGTGCAAAGTAAAAGTTGATAACAAAATTACCTAAAACCTGCCTAAGTTTCATAGAAAATAAGGAGGGAAAACCAGGGAAATGCAGTGCCTAATGAGATGACTGGAGATAAGCCTGACTAACACAGCAAGTTTTGCCTCCTTCTTTGTCTCCAAGGCAAACAGCTGTTGGGTTGCCCACGATCCGCCCACTGCCTCCTCCTTAAGGCAGTATCTCACTTGCTGGGAATCTTCTTCTCCCTAATTTCCATTCACGAGTCACATCTCTAAAATTCCTTAAGACTTCTCCCTACCATATCTCCTACAGGGGACCATCAACTGTCATTGAGTCTGAGCACCAGGTGGACAGTGGCCCGGTGGGTACCCCCTCCCAGAGCTGTGTTGGCAGAGTTTCCAGTGGTCAGCCCTGATGTCACTCTCTTTGGGGAGCCATCTCCAGTCTTCCTGTTCAGGTAGAAACCATCCATCATTTATTTCACTCTCTCGGGTTTCTGGATTATTAGATCACTCGCCACTTTCAGATCTAGTTATTTGTGCACATTTTTGAGTCTCCCACTAAGACTGTAAATTCCTAGAAACCAACACATAGTTTACGCCTGGCGCATGGTCAGTGCTGAAAGCCTGTGCCAGGGATGAGCAGAAGACAGGAAACAACTAGGTAAAGAGAAAGGACAGATGAGAACAGAATGAGTGGAATGTCAAAAATAGAGCTAGGCAGGGGGCCCTGGGGCAGTGGTGTCCCAGCCACTCGTTCTGTCCTGCTCGTCAAATCCCACTAGGAAGGCAGCCTGCCTTGCTGCCTAAAAGGAGGCTTTGACCCAGTGGGTGGAGTGTGCCTTTCTCCTTTTTTTGCCCGTAACAAAAGTAAAGTCAGCTTTTATTTCCTGGGTAAAACTATCCAACTTACGAATATTTTACAATTTTTTTTGAAATCCTGAGCTAGGTTTTCTTTCCCACGAAGTGGATCTGGGACACTTTCCCTCACAGTCTGTCACTGTATGCTCAGGAAAGAGAGCTAATTTTAATATTAGCCTCAGCCAAACAGAAAATGTGCTGTTAAAAGGAAACAAAGCTTTGAAAACACAAACAGCTTTTGGGAACTCTCATCTCTTCAGTCTGGAATACTGCTCTTCTCCTGTTCCAGCTTCCTTCTCTGTTTTCTCTGCTGTCTTCTGTGTCTCTCTGTCCAACCCAGGGCAGTGTCATTGGTCTTCCATACTCGTTGCTCACAGGCACCTTTTCTCTTTCAATTTCCCTTATGCTCATGGTGTCAGCTACACCTATATGCTACTGGTCAGCAAATGTATGTCTTCAGCCCAGTTCCTGGGTTTCAGACTCAGCTGCCTACTCAGTAACCCTTGGATCTGCCACCAGAACTTCAAATTTGTAGCACTCAAAGTAAAATTTATCAATTCCCCCAGTCCTGTTTCCATTCCCCTATCCTCCACCCTGGTTACCAAAACCACTATCCATCCAGCTGCCTTTGCTGGTGGAAGCTTGGGTGTGAGCCTAGATCTCTCTTTCTCTCTTATCCCTCCTATCTTTGCATACAACCAACCAGCAGGTCACATGGATTTTACTTTCTATTGCTTAAATTTATTGTCCTGTCGTCAATCTCTCCTGCCTCTGCCTGGCTCAGCCTCCCATTATCCAGAATCAAGACTATGACAATAGGGGCCGGAGATTTAGCTCAGTGGTTTGGCCGCCTGCTGTGCAAGCACAAGGACCTGAGTTCAATCCCCTCCCCATACCAAAAAAAAAAAGCTATGACAATAGCCTTCTTGCTAATCTTAGATTAATCCTGTTAATCCATAGGCCAGTTCTGTCCTGTGCACATGTGCCAAAGGGATTGGATGGACAGGCAGCACTGGTGGTATCACTTCCTTGTTCAAAAACTTTCTGTGGTTTTACTTTGCTCACAATAGCATTTCCCAAACTCAGGTCCCTGAGATACTACACGTCCCATGAGATAGTCCCTGCAGAAGGGGCCTTGTGGGAAATGCAGCTTACAGTTACATTTTGGCTACTCATAATTATGCTAGTGTATCAGACATTTTGGTAACTTTTCCAGTTTTTTTTTTAAAACTATTTGTTTAACCAAGCATTTTCCAACTGATTAGATATTGAAACCATTTTTACACATTACACCTATAATACCATGTTGTGTAAATCTTACTTGGGGAAATCCTATCCTAAAGAATAAGACCTGCATTCCTGATTCAGCCCCATTTACCTGTCCAGACTCATTCCTATACCCTTCCCATTTCCTCTTGTAGTACCTATTGTAAAGATAATACCCCAGATCTCAGGGTGTTGTTTCTTCTGTCCTGAATGCCCTGCCTCACTGCCTTCCTTGTAAGTTCTTATTAATTAAGCCTCGTATCAAACACTACCTCTTTTGCAAAGCCTCATGGGCTTTCCCAGGCAGCCCAGAAGAAGGTTCCCGCTGCACTCTGCCCAGGCTGCCATCAGGCCGCTCATCTGGGCTGTGATGATGTGTGTGCCTGTCTCCCCATTTAACTGTGAGCACCCTGCAAGCACAGGATGGAGCCAGTGCTTAGCCCACAGTAGCAGTAAATATTTGTCATGTCAGTAGAATGTTGAAACATGTTTCTTTCATCTATGAAAGGAATTGAGTTGCTTACACTGTCAATAAATGATCTTAATGCTAATTTTTTTCTTTCAGAATTATTCTATATTCATTATAAAATAAATCAGATAATTCCACCTGCAGGTATATGAATCATTTGCCTCTTTTTTTTTTTTTTTTTGGTACTGGGGATCGAGCTCAGGACCTTGCACTTGCAGGCGCAGTGCCACTGAGCTAAATTCCTGGCTCATTTGCCTCTTAAAACAGACAGCCTGAGCAGACCCCTTAACTTCCAAGTGCTCAACAGTTTCTTGTATGAGGGCAATGTTCTTTCTGTAATTTTTTGTAGGACTCTACCTTTCCCATACTCTACACGGGACCAAAAAGAACCTTTCTCATGTATCTCAGAAATTCCAATTTAGGAAGATAATGCAGATTATCTTCACTTTAAAACAATCTGGCTAGTACAACAGAACACAAAACAACAATAAAATTCTTCCCGTCTAAAAATATTCTTTAGGTTTTCTGGATTTGGAAGGCTAAAGAGTAAATATAGGTGAGTGTGGATATAAGTGCAAGCGTGATCTTTAACATATGTAGAAATTCAAACACACTGCCCTCACTGACTGGAACTAATGAGTACAGCTGATCATAGATCTCTGCCGCCTAGATGCTGGCAGCTTGTGTGCTCACTGGGTCTCCGGCTGCCTCGGCACGGTGTTAGCACAAGATGGCACAATGCATTTTCATTAACTTTGAATTCTTACCCACACGTCATTCAGGAGCTGAGGCATTTTAGCCACCTGGGAGATGCCTCTATAAAAAGACTGATTACAATTTCATAACTCTAGCAAGTGGTCATTTAAAAAGCATGTGACCTTCCTCCAGTTTTGTTCCTTCAATTATCAACTTGGTAACTTTTTTTTTAGTCACCAATCAATCCAGTGAATGTTCCAGATAATCCCTATCCTTTTATTCTAGCCACAATTGATTTTGGTGAATAAATAGAGCAGCCTTCTCTGACCAAGTCCAGTTGTTAGTCATTTGTGATAAGAAAAATAATCTGAAAGACCACCATTTCCCTTGTATGGGTAGAAAGAGCTAAACTTGGCTTTAAATTGTTATCAAGGAACTATCATCCTTTAGAACTCCTGCAAGGACTCTCTCTTTAAATCTCACAGGAAATTTAAGGAAGGTGCACTGAAACACCCATGTTCTATCAGGGAGTTAGATCTTTTGTAGAAAGGAAGGGAACCAAGAGATGGAGGGAGGGAGGAAAATGAGGTGGTAAAGGGAACGAAAACAGAATTCAGGTGTGTTATGTACAGGTACCAACCCTCCATGATGAATGTAATCATTACATACTGCAAATGTGTGCTAACAAAAATTGCAGTAATAAAAAAACATACAGAACAAAATAATAACTTGTTTTCTCAGAGAAAGAAATACATAAAGTCTCTGGCTATAAAATATACCACATGGGGGCCAAAGTAACCCATAATACAAACAGGTTGTAATATAAGTAGGGGAACCATGAAGACTGCATTGGTTCTAATTCCTGGATCTGCAACAGAATGACCTCACTCAGGACATTTGCTTTCTCTGCAATTCAGTTCTGTCTTCTCTAATACCTCACTCATACAGCTTTCAGCAGGGGTCAATGCCAAGTGCTTAGAACACTCCCAGCCATAGAGTAAGAGCTCACTAGAACTTAGCTGTTCTTGTTGTAAAAAGAAAATGGCTAAGTCTAGCACTTGGTGAGGGGGACCAAAGCCATTTGGTGGGCGAAACCAGGCAAGTGGGCTGATGTGGGAGGGGCACTTGCCTCCAAGAGGTGTTCCAAAGCAGCAGCCAACTCCCACGGCACAGCCCACTGTCAGCATGTCAGTGTAATAGTACGGCTGCTACTAGGGAGAGACAGACAGACAGACGGGAGGAAAAGGGCAGGGGCAGAAAGGGAGAACAAGCAGGGATGGGGAACAAGGCGAAGTTAGAGGCCTATGTCACAGGGAATCACCGTGATCTCATTGCCCTTGTGACTCCCAGACCAGGAGACACTCAGTGAGTTTCGCAAACAGGAAGTGACCTTTCAGCTCAAGGCTAATAGAAAATGAAATAAAAGTAAGGCAGATAGATGTCACACCTACGATGGGCTGGAGATGGGGCCATTTGGAGTGAGAAGGGCAGTAGCAGAAGAGACAGATGAGGACTCCAGACAGAAAAGTATCAATAAAGGGAGCAGGAAACAGCAGCTGATCTCAAAAGGACACATAGCCCTTTGGTGGAAAAATGGGGAATGGGGGCTGTGATCCATAGTCACTTCCTGGATACCCACCCATCAGTGAACACCACTTTGCCCACCCCAAAGCTATGGCAGCCCGCACCCACCTCCAAGTATGGCTCAGGCAACCCAGATAGGAGGAAGTGAAACTTGTCTCCAATAGGGGCTGCAAAGCAGCATCCCACACCCACCGCACAGGCCGGCACCAGGAGGTCAAGCTGCCTAGGCAGGGTCTGCAACAAGAAGCACGCCAGACAGACAAGGGGGTGGCAGGGTGGGGCAGGCAGGGAGACATGCTGGGGAACTGAAAAGGGACAAGGGCAGCACAGGAGGAAGGGGAGGGGAACTGACACAGAAGGGGCGTGTGGATTAGCAGGGGAACATGAAGGTGGGCCTGACCCAGGCCAATCAGGAAGGGGACAGGCACTGGCTGATCAGAGGTGGAGAATGGGAGCTCGGGTTAGTGCAGTGCCCCTTCAGCACCAAGGCCAGCTGAAGAAGGCAACCCTCCCTAGCTTGGCTCCCTGTGCACATACACACAGCAGTTTTCTTCTACCAGCCGGCCCCTGCTGCTTTGCCTGGCTCCAACCTTACCTCATAGACTCCACAGAACATGGCCATGAACTTGCTGAGGATAGCGGCACAGATGCTGGCAATGTGGACGAAAGGGCCCTGGAAGAGAGGAGTAGACCCAGGGTTCAGGGAGAGAAGTCTGGAGGGGAGGCTTTGTGGCTTTGTTAAACTCGTGTTTGCAACTCCAGGCCCTGGACAAGCTGCTGGAAATACAGAAGTCAGACAGGAGTTCTCCTTTTCATCTCAAAGAGGCAGGATAATGATTAACCAGTGTGTTCTCTTTTCAGATAATGCCAAGGGCTGGGAAGTAAATGAGGGAGGGTGAGGAGAGAAAGACGGGGTAGATATGGATGGGATGGGGACACATGCTTAAACAAAGTGGTCTGGGGAGGCCTCCTTGGCTGCTTAAAACCAAGCAGTGCCTGAGTACAGAGAGCTGGTGAGCCAGGAGGGTGTCAGGGGAAAAGCTCCACACAGGGGTCCTGAGGGGGACAAGCTTGGGGTGGCTGAGAGACGGGAAGAAAGCCTTGAGGACTGAGCACAGGGAAAGCAGCAGGCTGGGAGGCTGGAGGGTGAAGACAGAAGAGGTGGCTGTTCAGACCAGGCCAACATGAGTTCAGATTTTATTTTATGTGATATGGGAAGCTGTTACAAAGTTCTCAACCAGAAGACAGATGTGACCCATTCTGGGTTTTCTTTGGTACCGGGGATCGAACTCGGGTCCTTTCGCTTGCACAGCAGGCAGGGAAACCACTGAGCTAAATCCCCAGCCCGACCCATTCTGTTTTTAAAGATGGGTCTGGCTGCTGTGTGGAGCATGCACTGCAATGTGCAGGGCGCACGTGGGATGAACCGAGAGAGCCCCGAGGCATCCCCTGAGTGAAGGACAGCTGTTTCTAGCTCTCCGCTTCTCCAATGAAAACGACAGGATTGGTTTGCATTATCGCCAAGGCAGTCATTCAAACAGGAGAATTTTGGCCCCAGGGGGACATATGGCAATGTTGGGAGACTCCTGGTGCTTGTGACTGGGAATTACTGCTGGCATCTCGGGTTAGAGCCCAGGGATGCTGCTGACATTCCACATGGGCAGGACAGCACCCCCCCACACACACACACACATACACAATGTCAACAATGCCTGGGCTGAGAGACTCTGTTCTGACATGTTTGTCATTCAACCCCAGGAGAGGACCTTCCAAGCGAGTCTACTCCCTATTGCCTTTTCCCTCTCCGTTCATTTCTGCTCCCAGTGCATCCTCTAACTTTGACTCTTTGTCTCTGTCTCTCTGTCTGTGTGGCTCTCCCTCTTTCCCTCTGTCACTACAGACTCACCTCTTTCCCCACAGGGATGCCACTGCCCAGCCCTGCGGTCAGGGCCACCACCTTCGCCACAAAGGCCTTGAGTGTGAGATATTCTTTCAGGACAACGCCTCGAAGGATTGTCTTCATTTCAGGGATTCCAGAGCCTAAGAGGGTTAAAAAAGGACTGTGTGCAGCTTCAACCTGGAGTTAATGGAGAGATGAAAGTGGAAATGGGGGTAGGGGAGGAACAAAGAGGCTAGGACAAGGGGAGGACAGTGGCGAGGCTCCCAAAGGGCTGCAGGTGGGGCTGGAGGATGGGAGGACATCAGAGGGGACTGGTCTGATTGTGTGGAGTCATGAAGAAACCTCTCACCAACAGCCTGGGGAGAGATGAGGTGGCAGAAGAGGGCGCTGAAGAGGATGAGGACTAGCGGGAAGGTGACCCAGACCAGGTATTGCAGAGGAAGGTTGGGCTGCATCTGGGCGTAGGTCCACTTGTAGGCTGCAGGGACACACACTGAGGTCAGTCAGAGGATGGAGGAAGGGCAGGCAGTGACAGTGCTGTCACCGCAGACCGTGAGTGCAAAGTGCCCACCAGCAGGCCAACTGTTCCTGTAGGCCATGGGCATCTTGCTGCCCCTTCCTGGGGGAGCCACTGTTATTTTACATGCAGGAGGTAACATTCCTGTTCAAGTTCCCCATGGTAGAGGTAGCTGGTGGCTCTGTGCCAGGCTATAGCTCCTGGTTAGAGGCCATGGAGTGACCAACTACCTAGCTTGGCCAGAACCGGAACTTCCAGTGCTGGAACTGGTGAGATCCCAGGGAAACTGGAACAAGTGGGTCATGTTACAGAGGGGCACCCACAGCTTGGGTGGTAGCAGGGAGAAGTATGAGCCTCGGATCTGGGTCTTTCTTGAGGCCAGAGTCGAACCTGACCCTCTGTGCTGCATCCTCTCCCCATACACATCTAGCCTGTCCTAGGTAGAAACCCCAGAAACAGTCTCCATTGTAGGGGGCAAGGCTGAGGGCAGTGGTTCAAGGAGAACATACCCTGAAGGCTTTTGGCACTGACATAGTCCATGCACCAGCTGACCAGAGCCATCAGCAGGCCCAAGAGCACCAGAAAGATCCAGTCTTCCCCTAACTTCCTTCTCACCATGCATTCTAGCCGGTGGATACAACCTAGGAAGAGAAAAGGATAAAAAAAAAATAGAGGGAAGCAGCTAACCAGTCACTACTTTGGGTGCATGGCTGAAGACTGGAGGGGAGAGACTGGGCCACAGGCTCTTATCTGTAAATGGTCACCAGGTTTGTCCTTACATCTCTGCTGACTGCTGCCCCTGTCCTTTCAGAAGACATCCAGATCCATCTCCCATGAATACATGAATTCCCCTCTACAACTGCTGGGGGTGTTTCTTGGGGGTGGGGATGGGGACAGCAGGGAACAAGGCAAAGTCAATACTCAGAGGCAGGCTCTTACGCGTGTGTGGGGCACGTATGCAATGGGGCATCCCAGTTGTTCTCCTAATCCCTGTACCTCCGATTTCAGATTCCTTCATTCCTCAGTCCCCATCACCTTGACATTTAGAATAGTGGTCCTCATCCTTGCTGTCCAAGGTAGAACTGGAGCCCATCTTCTTGGGCATCCTTATATCCTGCTCCTTGTCTGAAAATCGCTCTTTGTGATGGCCATAAATCTGGGTGGAAGGAGAATGATCAAGGTCTATCTTGATGAAGAGTAAAAAAGAATACACAGAGGGCAGCACATAGACTTCCAGAGACAAGGGGAATTAGGTATTTTGAACCCTGGGCACTGACAGTTGCATGCAAAGCACTTGGTAGTCATCCCTGCCTTCACCTCTCTGCTCTCCAGTCTCACATTTCCCACTCTTTGCCCTTCATCCATCCATCTCTACCTTCTTTCCATCCATTCCTCAACCTGTCCTCATCTTGGTCCATGGTAACTATCATCAAGGAGGCCAATGTCTACTATGAAGTAGAGACACAAAACTGGGAATCTGTATCAGTTAGGTGTTTCATGTGTCATTATGCTCTCTGTTTGACTATAGTTTCCTAAGACCCACCCCATGTATGGACACTGCACTGGGATCCTAATGTAGACAGAGTGACCTTGAATGACTTTCTTTTAAACTGACTCATAAAACATGTACATCTTTTGAGAGGAGGATGACTCAGTTGCACTTTGCCTTTGTGTATTTTGCCTTCCTTGAGGCACTGGGTTGTCTATCAAGCCTGGATAAAGCTCATCTATCCATCTTCCAGGGTTTGTCTGCTCAAAATGGAACTAGGCCTTACAAGGCAAGTCAATCCACTTCTTCCCAAAGCCTGGTAACTGGGCCCCACCAACATGTGAGGAGGGAGGGGCAGCCCTGTTAGATCTGGAAGCCCCTATTCCCTCCTTGACAGTATCATGTGTGACAAGGAAAGTATGCAAGAGCTCTCCGGTGGCTCTCAGTCTGCCCCACCCCACTACACTAATTTCATAATCTGGGGCCAGCTTTATGCCTTGGTCCAAAATACACACACACACACACACTAATTTCCCATTCATAGCTGTTTTGCTCCCTGGGATGAAGTTAGTGACTGAGGGAGGCAGTATTTCCCTCTAAGCCCTAGCTGGTACCCACAAATAGAAAATACCCTAAGTGGAGATCAGAGAACTGGGGCTGCCTCAGTCCCCAAACTAACTTGCCACTTTCCCATTTCATGTTCACTTGGCCAGGGTCCTCACTGTCACCAGAAAGTGCCCTAACTGTGCTATTGTCTTGTCATCCCTTGGAATGACCAGCACCCGGGTAAGAGTGAGCGCAGGCCTGGGGGGGGAGGGGCGTGGTTCTGTCCAGGCCCACACAGAGTCCTAAGACCTGGGTTTCCAGGAAGCCTCTGCAGTCTCAGGATTGGGCCTGCACTGGCCCAGTCCCCCATTGAGTTCCCCATGCTGCCTCCCACAACTCCCCTTGGGGCTGGGTCAGGGCATGATCCCCAGTGCTACCCCTGCATAGCTCACCCCTCAGGTTCCCCACTCAGCACCTGTAGGAGCCATGGGCTCCTGGCAAGTAGAAACCCCTTTTAAGTCTGATCTCCTGCTCCTCAGGACACCTTCCATCCTGTCGCTGTCTGCGTTCTTTGCAGTAAGAATCACACTTTCCTACTAATTGTGGCCTGTAAATTCTCCAAAGCTTTCTCACAGCCTTTCCTTTCCTTGTGCCAGCCCTCATTTCCCCTATCCTGAATGTCCATGACCCACCAATCCCCACCCCTGCAGGATAGGTATCCCCAAACACCAGAACACCAGAACTAGTCTGCTAGCTCCTCACTGGGACCACATCTCTGTACATTTCCAAGTGTCTCACTGCATATACTCGTACTTGATCCATCTGGACATCTAAGTTTGGTTTGTGTGTGTGTGTGTGTGTGTGTGTGTGTGGTGCTGGAGTTCAAATGCAGGGCCTCACTCATGCTAGGCAAGAAGTGCTGTAGCAGGATTACATTGTTGTGCTCATTTCGACACTGGTAGTTCTCTGATCACTGATGGACCATCCACTCTGTCCCAACTCTTTGCTTCTGGCTTCTGCAGAAGTGTGTGTGTGCTCTGCGGGGGCTGAGTGGCAGAAACCCTGCGGTGTCTGCTGTGGCTGAGGGTGTGGGAGGCTAGCAGCAGGCAGCAGTGTGGGCCCTGTGCGAGTCGGTCCCTGGAGCTTATGTAAGTGCTCGCTCTTCATGCACATGTGGCTCTGCTGGGTTCCCCAGGCTTTGGTTATTCTGTTAAATAAAGGCTCTATGAGTGTGCAAGGGTATCTCTCCAAGTCCACACTTAGGCAAGCCCAGACGTTCGAGTGATTGTTATATTTTGAATAATTACTGTAGAATTTTAAAAAAAGTTAACAAAAAATAAACACTGCTCTCTTGTCATCTAGCCCCTCACTTTCACCAGTCCCTGCCCCAGTGTCCCTGTCCACCGTTCCCCTCCCCTCAGGGCTTTACCTGTGTGGGGTGGGCGTTGTGCCAGGGGCCTGCATCCTTTTGGGGCCGGTGCTGAAGGCCCCCATTCTCAGAGGGCAGTCCGTAGCTGGTGCAGTGCTCAAAGGGCATGTACTGGTACTGGGGGGCACTTCCCCACCAGCTCTGTTCAACCCCATGCCGTTGGGCCTGGGCTTGCTCCATGCGTCCTCCTCCCAGCCCCAGCCGGGCCTTGGCCTGCTTGGCCCGTCCTCCCCTCAGGGTAGCTCCTTAGGGCCCTGCACTCGCCTGTTCCCAAGGCGTCTGGGGCAGCATGCCCACCTCCAGCTATTTATAGCTGCCTCTCCATCACATGACCCCCCACTGCCACATCTGATCTGCTTGGGGTCGAAGCAGGTGTGAGTGCAGTGTGGGGGTGGGGCTGGGATAAGAACCTGTGGGACAGCCCCACAGGGAATTCCCTCCAGCCAGCAGCACTGTCCCTCCCTCGTTAGTAGCAGACATCCAGCCCTGGGTCACTGGTCCCTCTATAAATATTGCCCAGACCAGGGCAGGAAAGTGCTTAGTACGCTCTGGATGCTGTGTGCAGAGCCCCTTCAGGATGTGGAAGGTGGGGGGGTGCAGGTCGAATTCCTCTGAGGGCTGGAGACACTAGACAGGTCACTCACCTGGGACAGCAAGTGGTGCCACTCTGCCATCTCTCCCTGGTGGGTTGTCCCCAGCTCTGGATCTTTGCCAGGTTTTGTCATCTAGATGCTGAACTTCTGTCTGGCTCGCTCTGTCTACTCATCCCGTTTTTTCTTCTCCAGGTCTCTGCCCTTCTGCCAGCCAGAAACTGCTTATAACACCTCGGGGCCTTCCCCTCAACCCTGTCCTTATCAACCAGTGGGGTGTGGAGCTCTGTGGGAAGTGGGGGTAACAGCCTTGGGTTCTGGAATCTCACCCATTTCCCACACTCACATGTGTCAGCTGCACTCCCAGCCCAGAACTCCGGGGAGGGACTGGGCTTCCATGTAGACTGGGAAAGAAAGGGAAGTGGCCAGAGGTATCGGGAAGGTGGTGGTAGTGGGAAAGGAGGGTGTGTTTCTTATGAGCCCAACAAATAACAGATGATGGGGAAGTAATCTCACCATTCTTCCCTTTTGAAGTCAATAAATACTTTCCACCAAGGCCAAACTGCTCCATCCGGCATGGTGTTTTTCATCGATTTTCCAAAGACATTCCTTCCCTATAAACTCATCATCATTGAGGAAAAGCTATAAACTGAGGCAAAGTGAAGTTTAGGATATCACCAAGTGAGGCTTCTTCCCAGAAGAGTCCCAGTTCAGGAACTGAAAGGTGGGGACATGAAATATCTGGTCTACAATGTAATTTTAAGCTAAGCTAAATGGAACTGCTCAAAGCAAGTGGCAAGATGGATATCATTAAAAGCAGCTTTTCTAGGTGCTCAAATCACTAATCATCAGGGAAATGCAAATCAAAATCATAATGAGTTATCACTTCATACCTATTAAGATGGCTACAAAAAAAAAAAGACAAGCAGTAAATGTCCAGGAGGCAGAGAAAAGAGCACCCTTGTACACTGTTGATGGAAGGTACACTGGCATAGTCCTCATGGAAAAAAGTATGGAAATTTATCAAACAATTAGAAATAGATCTATAATCCAGCAACACCACTCAGGGATATATAACTAAAGGCGATGAAATCAGTATGCCACCAACATCTGGACTCCCTTATTCACTGTGGCACCATCTACAACAGCCAAGATGTAAGAACAACTTAAATGTCTGTCAACAGATGAATGGATAAAGAAAATGTGGTATGTATACACAACAGAATGGTACTCAAACACAAAAAAGGAAACCCTGCTAGTTGTGACAACAGGAGGACATATACTACATAAAATACGCCAGGCATAGGAAGACAAATACTGCATGACTGCACATTATATGTAGAAACTAAAGTAGTAGAACTCAGAAACAAGAGCAGGTGATTGGTTGCGAGGGGAATGGTTATCAGAAATGTCAATCAAGGTACAAGGCTTCAGTTATGCAGGATGACATGGTGATTATACTGTACCACATATCTGAAATTTGCTTAGAGAGTGGACTTTCGTTGTCCTCACCACACACACACAACTGTGAATGGTTAACTACTTTAACTGTAGTCATCACTTCATGACGTGTATCTTTACACATCATGTATCAGATTGTATACTATTAATATGTACAACTTCTATTTGTCAAATGTTTACCAAAAAGTTGGAAAAACCCACTTTTTTAGCACCAGTCCTGTGACCCTCAAGGCCTATATTCTATCCACAAAGATAATGGACATGTGATACTCTGTGATATATAGTACCTGACTTTTCTGCAGACAGGAACTAAGGAGAAGTATAAAGGATTGGTGTGAAATGAAAAACTACAGTGCCAAAGTGAGATGATATTCTTGGAGGGCTTTATACAAGATTTTTCATTTGTCTGTGAAGTCTGGGTCTCCTGGAAGCAACCAGTTCACATAGGAAACTGAGAAACTATTATCAGCTGCAATTATTACTTCCAGTTTTTTTGGTTGAGAGATGACCCTCATCTTTTTTTTTTTTTTCCTGTTACCAGGGATCGAACTTTGGTCCTTGCACTTGCAAGGCAGGCAGTGGAACCACTGAGCTAAATCCCTGGCCCCTTCCAGTTTTTTTTTAAAATAGGGTCTCACTATGTAGCTCACAGTTCAGGCTGGGTTTGAACTGTGTAGCCCAGGGTGGCCTTGAACTTGCAGCTATCTTCCTTCAGCCTCTCAAGTGCTGGGATGACAGGCATGTGCTACCACACCCAGATACTGCCACAGCATTCTTAAAAGGCAGGTCCCTAAAACAGAGCAGCATGGTCATAGACTCAGCCTTCAAGGCAGAGCTCAGAGGAGCTGGGGAAGCCATCATGCCTGGCCAAGCCATGTGGAAGGATGTGGTCTGGAAGGAAAGCACCAACTGCCAATCTAAGAGCCAGATTCTCAAGGAGGACCAAAATCATCTACAGGCTTCTACTGCTGGAGGGCGAGGCCTTGAAAGTATCTGGTGTTTGAAATTAGGAAGTTGAAATCACATGGATTATCATCCTGCGAGAGAACTAGAAAACAAAATATAAACCATGCCCCTCCCTCACTCCAAAAGTGGCCTAGTGCTTAGGTTATTTGGGGTACCAAAGGTGGGTTTCTGGACGTCATGTGAAGTTCCTAAACTTGAAAGCAAATTCAAAAGAATACATGAATATGTTATTCATTCCTCTGAGGTTTTAAAGATTCTCCTAAGGCCCATGATAGTAAAAGGTTAAAACCTACATGCTTAATGGAACCGCTCATTGAAGGCAGGCAGTATCAAGTGGCCACACAGGAAACAAGCAGAGGGTAAGTTTGAGTTGCATGAACAGGAGGCAGGGTATGAGACAGGTAGCCCTTCGAACCCCAGTAAATTTCTGGGTTACATGTTTTCCAACATCTTCCAGTCTGATCTCCCTAATTTATGGGGCAATAAATGCGAACAGCATACTCTTTTAACAGTGTTTTCAGACATCACTTTCCTTCTGAATACCCAGGCAGCACAGACGGCACCCCACCGACTTTCTGAAATTTTAGCAAAACAACTACAGCTTTGAAGATTCTTTGTAGATCTTACTGGTGCTCACTTTTTTTTTTTTTTTTTGGTGCTGGGGATCGAACTCAGGACCTTGCCCTTGCAAGGCAGGAGTGGTGTCACTGAGCTAAATCCCTGGCCCCTCTTCTCCTCTACTTTATTGGGCCTTGCAACATCCTTGAAGAATCTTTGGCCTCTCTTGTGCCCTGCAGGTTAGGCCTTCCCTATAACACTCAACAGACCTTTCTCTCCCTTCCGGCTTTTCAAACATGGTATTTTTCATGCATCATCACATTTAATCCTCACAGGGAAGTTTCAAGGCAGAAACAACTTTCATTTTTAGATAAAGGCAACTGAGACTCATTATCAGCTAACTTGGCCAAGGTCTCCAATATCTTCAAAGGTAGAGGTAACATTTAAAATCAGAGCCACACAATTCAGAGTCCATGCCTTTATTCTTTTTTATATTTCAAAGCTTTTAAGACTCAATTTTCCTCTGAAAAAATGGGAAAATTACTTCCTCGTGGGACTCTGGGGAAGATGGAACAGAAAGCTCCACCCTGAGTAACAACATTTGGTGAGTTGTAGCTATTATTGTCTGGCTTGTCTTTAGACACCTCCCCTCCCCTTAATACCACAGCTCTGGTCTGGTACCCATTCATTTCATTTCTTCCTGTTTTCCTTTTCCCATCTGAGAAAACAGGATGGGGAAGGGCAGCAGAGGGCAGCCCCCAGCTCAGAAGGGGATAATTTTAGAAGAGAATCCCCTGGCAGAAGTAAGTGGGGGAAGGGAAGAGAGCTGTGAAATTCAACCTGACACCCTATTCAAGGGCAGGCAGGGAAGGGCATAGACTCCAGCTTAGATACTGCTTGTAATTCCTAAACACATTACACCTTCAAAAAGCTTTCCTATCTTGAAAATGGGTACTTACTTTTATGGATTCCTGTTATCAACCTCTCCTGGATTTTTATAACCCTCACTCCCTTGCAGCTGTTTGTTCTTGCAAAACAAGTGGTTTCAGTCCATCTTTCATGTCCTTTTGGCCCCAACGTGTTTCTGCACTGAATTTCCCTCTATCTGGTGATGTGCTTCAGCTCAACTTGATGCCCTTTTACTCTTCCTAGACAGCCATCCTCTCCTCTGTATTCCTAAGCAACTTCTCTGCAATTCCAGGTTTCTTACACAAATGCTCCCACAGTATTTCCTATATCCTGCTATACTTCTCTAGCTCAACTGAACCTGCACAGTTGCTTCCCCAGGCTCCAACCCTAAAGCTCAATTTAAGATTCCATTGGTTAGATCTCTTCCATACTGCCCTAGAATTCTCACAATCTCTGTCATCCTAGAAAACCTTGTATCTCACTTGGACCATGTAAGAAATGTAATCCTACTACCCCTTCTATGCCAGCCCAGTCTATGACTCCAGCCTCTGTCCCATAACCCAGTAAGCATAACCCAGAACAAACACCGCATGCTAATGACTCTTCCATCTCATCTGACCAGAAGAAATCACAGGCTTGTGACAACTCAGACAAGCCCATATCTCTATGTATAGGGACCATGGCAGCAAAATAAGTGGGGTTTTGGTATGTCTGGGTATGTCTTGTAGGGAGGAATGACAAGGAGCTAAGGGAATGAACATATGTGGACTTGAGAAGATTAAGTATCCACAGAAACACAGACATTAGGCATACCCCAGTAGCAAATATGAACATTTATTTGGCACCTGATACAAAAAAATCTTGGCAGTGGAAAGTGGAAAAGTTGTATCACTAAAATACACCCATCCTATATGAGCAAAAGGAAGGACTTGACACTAAGTCCCCAAACCATCTGGCTCACAGAATAAACATTTATCAAGCACCTTGACTGCTACAGACCTAGCACTTTTGCTAGGCACTATGAGAGATGTGACGGAAGTTGTCTCACATGTGACACTTCTTCAAGGAGCTAAAAATACCAGTGGATAAAAACAAAACACATGGAAAAACCTAAGAGTACAAATACTAAACTCTATACATAATTGTCAAATGGGAAATTTTATCAAAAAGGAGTCTACCTATGGTTGGCTGTTTCTTTCTTCCTTTTATAAACAAACATTTATGGAGGAACATTAAGTGTCAGGTACTAGTACATACTGGCAAGAGAGCCAGGTTTCTGCCCTCTTAAAGCCTGTAGCCTAGTAGGGGGAGAAAAACTGAGTAAGTAAAATAGACAAATATGTAATTACAAATCACCTAAGTGCAATCAAGGAATTAACCAGGATGCAGTAATAAAGGGAGGAGACTGTTCAGAGACAGAATGGCCTGGAAGGGCTCCACAAGACAAAGAATAAGATGCTTCTCCAGCCAAAGGCAGTGAGAATGAAGACCTCAAAATGTCAAAGAGACTTGAGTAGAGGCCACGGGGGCTGGAACATAACCAGAAATCACCAGTTAGTAGGATTGAAGGGGAAGGCAAAGCCAGATCTCATGAACCAGGGCAATGATTTTGCATTTTATAGTAGGTAAAGAGGGAAGCCCAGAGATCCAAGCAGGAGAATGACATTTATATTTAAAAGCCGAAAATGGTTATGTAAAGAGTAGACTGGAGGGGGCAAGAATGACTTTAAAGAATAGCAAAGTTTCACTGAAGCAGAGATACAGGAGTTACGACCACATAAAATCAAAGAAGTTTGATTCTGAAGCAGAAGGCAGGAACAAAGTAGTACATTATACTCTTGAGTGGAAAAATGACCCAGTGCAGGTGTATTTCAGACAGGCTTGGTGGCAGAAATGCACAGGGTGAAATGAAGATAAAGGGGAGAGAGACCAGAAGCAGGGTGGTAACAACTGTGAAGCTTTTCTAGAAATTCAGATACGAGGTGAAGTTTGATTGCATGGAGGTGAGAAAAGTAAGGAAAAAGGGAGACCTTGCAGGAAGGAGAAAGGTCAGAGTGAGGAGGCATGTCCTTCTTGGCTTTCTGCCAACAGCGCCCACAAGACTCCTTTCAGGAAAAGCTCAGAGAGTGACTGAGGAAGCCCTTTAAGACTTCTGGGTCGAGGCATGCAGACCGCATCTCTGCTGAGAGGCTGGGTCCCTAGAGCCCAAAGGAGCTGAGGGTGGAGGTTTTTCCCCAGGGCTGGCAGTCCTGAAGGAATCACAGGCACTTCTGCTTATGACAGCAGGGTGCATCTTAGTCAGGCTTGCCTCTTCAAAGCCAAACGGAAATGTCTATATTAAATTGAGACACCTTCCAAACTGTCACTCTGGGACAAACGGGGCCAGGGAAATGAGAGAGAGAACAGATAGGAGGTGATCTAATGTAATACAAGTGATGACCAAAGTGCTCCCTACAAAAGCCCTGAGGCCAGAAGTAACACAGACACTAGGGAACCCCCATGCCCTCTCTCCTTGACGATACTGTGTTCAAAACACCACTTGTCAGGCTCTTTGACCAAAGCTGAAACACTCCTGGCAATGAGTCCAGCCATAGCCGGCAAGAGCTCCACATAGGAGGAGCTGGTCTGGAGTCCCATTCACATAGCTGGAGATGACAGGCACAGGAAACACACCTGGGAGAGTCCCATATCCCTGAGGGGGCAGAACAGAAACCACGTGTCCTGAAGAGAAAAGGCTCTAGCATCCTCTGCCGGTCCAGGGGCCTCCAACAACATGGATGACAGGGAGGTGGCATCACGTGGGAGAGTATCCTGGGAACAGATAGAGTGGACGGCACAGAGTGCTACAGTACTCCGACATCTCCTTGCATCGGTGAAACTCTGTGCCAGGGGCATAGCCCTCACGCTCCTTGATAAGGGCGTTCACCTGCAAAGGCAGAACCAGGAGTCCAAAGTCAGACTGCATTTCCACAACGGCAGCCCAATGGGAAGGACAAAGAGACTATCAAAAATAGTTTAAGGGAAGGGGAAGAGAGAACACTGGGGGGACGTAAGCCCGAGCCGACTTACCTTAACCAACATGTCGGCCACATGCATGTCACAAGCTCTCTCAGAGAAAACTTGAGCGAGTGCCTCAATGTACCAGGAGCCCCGTTTGGTGTTGCGCATGGCAGCAGTTCCTGCAACCAGAGGTGTGAAGGTCACAGAGAATCCTCACACAGCTGGACTTCGTGGCACCTTGGACCCTCCAAGTCAGGAAAGCCCAGCATCAAAAACCCTTGACTAAGAGAATACAGTCTTCTGGATTACTCTTTTGGAACTCAAAAATACCTTTCAGGCAGGCATAGCCACATATCATGTCCGACCGGGTGGGCAATCTCATCTTCAGCAACTCCTCTTTACCAGCGTCACTCTCCTCGCACCCAGGGGAGCTTGGGTGGTTTTTTCCATCTAGCTGGTCAACCCCACGGTCAGTCTCATCTGTAGAAAGGCAGACAGAATGGACAAATATATTACTTTCGCCCATCTCTCCTGGGCTTCTCATAAGCATGCCCAAGTTTGCAATAACCTTGACTGGGAAGAGTCATTTGCAGCTATTGCCTCCAATCTATAGCTGATGAATGAAAGCAAAAAAATCATTATTTTCCTAGCATGCATCCATTATTCAGGGAATGCCTACTAGACTAGGCACCACCCTCACGCACATGCGCACATACATGGTTGGAACATATCCCATTCTGCTTAAAAAATGGCCAAGGCACATACTCTTTGTAAACAGAACTAAAAATCATGTAGGTCTATGATTACTTGTTCAAATAGCAAAATACCTGAAACACCTGAGTGTTTTTTATTGCAGTACACAATAAAATACTGATATTCAGTTCTACTATATAAGCCAAAACTATGATTGTCAAAACATAATATGCTGTATAAAACACAGAATTGCAAACTATGTTATCAGTAAAAAAAATTATAAAACTAAGCATGATCAGTTTCCAAGGTGGTTTTAGAATTTGTTTGTTATGTTTTGAGACAGGGTCTCTCTTCGCTCTGGAGTCCCAGCTGGCCTTGAACTCCTGGCAGTCCTCAAGCCTCAGCCTCCCAAGTGCTGGGATTATAGGTGTGTGCCACCACACCTGGCTCATTTTGGTATTTTGAAAGCATTAGAAAGTCTTTGACAGAGGAGTTGGAGTGGCAGAACAAAAGATTCAGATTACTCCAGAAGAGGGCAATCTCTCCCCACTTAGATCTAGTATTATATGTATTTCTGAATTCAGAAGAAAATGACCACTAATGTCTTTATTTTGCTGGTAACAACTCTTAAAGGAAATAGGTCAAGCAAAGTATGTAATTTAAGAGATAAACTTTTCTTGCTTTCATACTGCAGATCTGTTACTCAATAAATAGTACTGGTTCTTTCCTCACAACACTGCTCATTTGTTTTCTATATTATCATTATGATTTTTCAATATTCATACTGTTTTTTTTGGTACAACTCAGTACCTTGTGCTTGCAAGGTAGGAACGGTACCACTGAGCTAAATCCCCAGCCTCAATATGACTTTTTGAGCAGGTAAATTTCCATTCATTCATTCAATATATATAAGTGCCATTCTGTGTCCGGAAGTACTCTTGACTTTGGAAAGACAGCAGTGAACGAAAAACTAAGTTCCTGCCCCTCACATGCTCTTTCCTTAGTGTCTCTCCCTACCAATTTTCCCCTGGTGACCTTGCCAAGGAAAAAAATCATCACATTATTTCTTTCTTAAGTTCTGAACATCTCTGTACTATCTTTTGAAGCCCAAAATCTCAGCTGTGACTAAGGGTTTGTAATTAGCTGGACCTTCTTCCTGTGATCAGCGACATTTCACTACATACACAAGATGCTCAGCTTTTTAATTAGATCCAACCACAGAGGTGGGGAAGAGATGGGGGTACAACGTGCACTTTGAATCCTGGAGTGCCTGTTAGCCTGCTCTGTTCCTTCTCCTGGGAAAGACTATTTCTCCACACCTCTGCAAATCATGTCCTAGGTCCAAGTTAAGCTCCACCTTTTCCACAAAGTGTCTCTGAACTAACCTCACTTCAAATCATCTACTTTTACTGCATATTTCTTCATAAGTACAGTTTCCATCTCACTAATGTTACCCCTTTGTTAGAAAACCAGTTTCAAGCTACTTTATGTATACTTGCTTTAGTTTCCTGAGCAATCTCACAGGCTTCTTAGGGCACATTTTCTTTTGCTTTTGTGGTATTACCTAGGGTAGTCTTAGTCATGCAGTATCACATCTCCTGATTTATTAGATGAGAAAAATACTATTACACAATAGATTAAAAAATCATTTAATGTTTGGATAAAATGGACTTGAACCCAAACCAAAAGCCCTTTGAAGACACTGATCATGTTATAAGTCACAGCTGGCTTTCTTTGTAAATGTGCCATTAGTCAGGTACTGCGCTAGGTAAGCTCTTATATGCATAACTTCCTTTAATCAGCATAGCAACCTTATCAAGTTGGTACAGCAACGATCCACATTTTACATGAAGGAAAGCGGGGTGGAGGAATGTTAAGTAGCGCCTCTAACTTTGTATAATTACTAAGTAGTGGAGTGAGAATTTGACTCCAGATTTAGAACTCTTAATTACTACTGTTTTCCTCCAGGATGAGAAGCAGCCTATGTATCTTCTGAGCCTTGTCACGAAGGCCTGGGTCTTACAGGGGTAGAACTGCAGAATGCATACAAGAAAGAAGAGGGACAGAAGCAGCTCAGGAAAGAGTCCAGGGCTGACATGGGTTCTGTATTGCTATCCATGAATCCAAGGTCCATGAATGAAAAAGAGAAGACAGCAAAAGTGGAAGCTAGGTGACGTAGGTGAACAGAGAAGCCTAAGGAGGAAGTAGAAAAGGGGAAGAAAGGAGGAAAAAGAAAAAGAGGAAAGAGATAAAGTGAGATAAAGAAGAGACAAATGGAATATCCTTAACCAGAAAGAATAACAACAAAAAAAGTGCATCTGCATTGATAAGCACAGCAAAGAGTCCAAGTACTGGGTGGGGGGAAGGCAAAGACATTGACAAGAGAATCCTGAGAACAGGATATGGTGGTGCACGGAGAGCTGACCAGCCTGAGAACCATGGGCTGCCCAAGTCCCAGCACACCCCATGCATTGGGAGACACTTACAGAGCAAGAGAGGCGGTGGCAGCAGGGAACAGAAGGAGGTGCCCAAGGGATCCGATAGCACCTGAGAGGAGCAAACAGGAAAGTGAGAGCTGGTGGGGGGCTGTCCAGGAGCCATCACCCAGCTGCTGGTCTACCAGGGCACTCACCTCCACGGCAGGCCTGGATGAAGAACATCTTTGGCTTGTTCTGTAGGCTTGGGCAGTTGGCATTGTCAAAAAGCCGAAAAACCTCTTGGAGCTGCCGGAAAGAAATGAAGAAGGGAGGTTTAGAGGGCACTGAGGCTTCTGCAGTGCTATCCATACAACAGCAGTCATCCATGGGAAGACAGGCAAGCCAGAGGAAGGCTGTGTCAGCTTCCACAGCAGGACACGCACCTGGAGCAGTTTGCCATCCACACCGTAGACACTGCCCTCCACACCATGCGAGAGGATCACCACGATGCAGGAGTCTGTGACCCGGTGTGCAGGTAACTGTGCAAAACTTTGGAGTTTCTCTTGCATTTCCTACAAGAAAGACATCTTTCAGTGCTGACCCAGTGGACTCAACACTAATGTTAGCACTGCTCTCTGGTTTGTTTGAAACCCTAAGCTATCAGAAGAGAAGTTTTTTGGGTATGTAATGGTATCTTGGTTCATGAACTTAACTCTTTCCATGATTCTGGTCACAAACTGAATCAAATTTCCTCATAAGGTCAACATCACACCTAACCATTGGAATTGATTTGGTTCGTGACCAGAATCGTGGAAAGAATTAAGCTCGTGAATGGCAATATCACTGTACTCCTGTGGTAAATGACAAGCGAAGTCAGAGAGCCTTTGAGAGGCTAAAGAAAACTGCATTCACCAGAAAAAAAACACATGACATCAGATAAAATTCTGAATACAGATTCACAGACTCACCAAGGTAACTTAAGAACGAAATTAAGTTACTTATGGAGCTAATCACAAGCTAGTCAACTCTGATTGATTGCCTGATCATCAACCAGACCTTTTATTGGAGCAAATGCCCTCCGTATAAATGGCACAAGGGGTACTATACCTACTCAGCTACAATAAACTGCTCAGTGAGGAGTAGGAGCTATGACAGTAGAAAACAGCAGTACTTGGTTGCTATTTTCCACGTGGCGTGGTAAGTATCCAAAAGATGATGTGTATGGAATGTTTTGCTCAGGGAGAGAACAATGGTGGACCAATCCATTCAGAGCAGACTATTCACACAGATTATGGGATCCAGACCCATCTAGGTTTGAACCTGGGCCCATAAATTGGAACAAGGAGTTCAGCTCTTCAAGGTCCTGATTTCCATTTTATAAGAAAATAATTACATGTAAATTTTCTCTTAATTTTTGACGATTAAGTGAGATTTTGCAGAAATCACTTAATCACTATGTCTCAGACATACCACAAAGCTGTCATTATTATAATGTGCATGTCTAATACAGTAATAATCATGTTATCATTTTTTTCAAAGAAACCTATTGGTGATCAGCCTTGTAGTCCAACTTCATTTTACTTATCATATACTAAGTTACCACTCACAAATACCACCACCTTAAGAATCTGGTTCATCCAACAGAGAATAATGAAGATAAATATGCCACCTAGGCAGAACAACACATATATACTTAACATTTACCCCCTCCCAATAAAAAGCAAACTTGTACAATACATTGCAGTGCTTCTCAAAGGGTGGTCCCTAAAGCAACCCTAGCAGACCATCTAGGAATTTGTGAGAAATACGAACTCTTGGGCCACAAAACCCATTTAAACAAATTTTCCAGCTGATTCAGATATTTTAAAGTTTAAGATTTACTAATCCACTTATTTGGAATACTTCATTTATGTAAATACATAAAAGATGTGAAAGGCTGCAATTTAACTGGAAATAGAGAAACTACTTTTTTGGAAAAAGCATGTGTATTTCCTAGGTAAACAACACCATAATGGAAATCGTTTTTTTTGTTTGTTTGTTTGTTTTGGTTAAATTCTTTTATTGGTACATTGTAGGTATACAACACAAATACATTGCTCATTGGGAATTGTACCTTTACATAATGCATCTTGGTTCTTATTTTTTCCCCATTCCTAGCCCTCCCTTCACCCCCTCCACCCTTCCCTATTTACAAAGACTTTATTTCCATTTTTTCCATTTCTCATCATTTTTTCCTTTCCCTTCTTTCCTTTCCCCTGCCCCTCCCACTACCCCTACCCCTTTGGACCTTTTCTTCCTATTTTGCATTATTGATTATTCATTCTAATCACTGGTACATTTTAGGTATACAATATAATGACATTCATCACTGGAAATTTGCACCTTTACATAATCTCTCTTGGTTCTTATATTTCACCCTTGCCCAGCCCTCCCTTCAACCCCTCCATTCCTCCCTATCTACAAAGATTTTGTTACTATTTTTCCATTCATAATGGAAATCTTAAGGTAATAAAGGCTAGCCAAAATTCATTTGTTTACAGAATACATAATTTCAAGAGAGTGATAACTGTTAATGTTTTGCGGGGCCCACCCAAATTTTTAAAAATTTAATTTAAACAATTTTATTAGCATGCGTTTGCAACACATAATTACACTCATCGTGAGGTGGTGGTACACATATGTAAAGTTAAATTTTGCCCAAATACTATGGTGAGAATTAGATATACTTAGGCATCTACTCTTGAGTATTCAAACTCAGTGAGATTATTAGTTTAGTCAATAGAGGGCAACAAAGTCCAAAGCAGTGTTCTCATCAGTGCTATCAACAGACAAGGATGCTCTAGGATTATACATGTTTTTTTGAGACAGAGTCTTGCTATCTAGTCTAGGGTGGCCTTGAACTCATGCCAACCCTCCTGCCTCCTCCAGCCTCCTGAGTGGTGGGGTTATAGGTGTGCACCACCACACCTGGCCTACTATTTCTTTTATCTAAATGAAATTTATCCATAAAGTACAACATGTTTGAGAAAGAAAAAAGAAAATCTTAAATCTATTTGGTTCTGTTTCTGGTCTACCAGGAATATAGCATTCTGTGCAAATGTTCAATGCACAAGTCACCATACTCACAGCAACTGCCCAGTTTGCAGCACACACATCTCTTGTTTACACACTGTTCTCCCAGCCGAGGATGCCTTTACCACTCTGCTCTGCTTCAGCAGCCTCTGTAAGTCCCACTGCTCCATTTACTCTGCTGACCACACTGACCCAGGCAGTGGTTCCTCTGAGCTCTTAAAGAAGGCTGTGTCTCTAATCTCCCCTGGTCCTTGGGACAGTAAGAGGTCATGTTTCCTTTCTGCTGATATTCAAGACTCCTTCAAGACTCCCTCAGCGATATGAGATCCCTGGAACTCAAGGCCCACATTTTAAAAATTTCTGGTAGCTAACACAGTCTCCCTATAAGATGCTCAAAATTTAAGTTTATTGTAATCGTAGTTATAGAACAATGTAAGCAGAGAATAATTCAATAGGACCTTGACGCTGCATTTGATTTACCATAAATGGAAATAGCTTCCATGAACTGAGCTCATGGACTCATTAAATCTACAGAATGGCACAAAAAATAGGAGTATATATAGCTGACTTGGTGACTCCGTGTGGTATCTTTAATAATCAGGTATGCCCTTATCAATGGCCTGATTTTGAATATAATGACATAATAGATTCCTATAAAAGGAATAGCTACATCAAAATCTCTAGGAAGACATGCATACCATACATTTTGTTAAGCGACCTTCCAACAGATTGCTTTTTCTGATTGCTAAGATGGGTGGAAGACATAATCTTTTTTTTTTGGTACTGGGGATCGAACTTGGGTCCTTGCGCTTGCAGGGCAGGCGGCGGAACCACTGAGCTAAATCCCTGGCCCCAGATTCCTTTTTCTGTAGTTGTAATGGCTTGTACGTAGACGTTCCCCCAAAGCTTCATGCAGTCATAGGTGGGGCTTTTCCAGAGGTAGCTGGACCTAGAATGTGTGATGCTGGGATTAAAGGGTATATGATTACTAAAGTAGTTCACTGATTGGTTTGGCAGAGTTCTGGGTGTGAGTGCTACCTGCCCTAAGCTGGACAGCCTAGATAGAATATAAAAGGGACACAGAGAAGCTGCTATTGTGGCTTGTCACTTGCTTGCTGTTGGTGTCTTCTGCTGGCATGGACTATTTCTCCTCTGTGATGCCCCTCGACCATGCCACTCTTCCTTGGAGCAGGCCCACCACAGACTGAAACCTCTATAAACTGAGAGCTGAAATACTGTAAATCTTTCCTCCTTTAAATTTGGGTGTTGGGTATTTTGTCTCAGCATGGAAAAAAGTAACTAAGACAGGTAATAATTGTGGGGATAAGCTACTTTGTTCCATTCATACCCAGGGGATGTCTCAGGAAAGTGCATAATCTACTTCATTACTTCATGATTAGAGATAGTGTTCTGGCCATGGCTTTGAAGGGTTTACTATGTTGCATGGATGCTATGGGAAGCCAGCAAAAACAGCATGTAAAAGATGACACCCAGGAACCTTATGATAAACCTAGCTGTACTCAACGAACAGCAAACATGCAATTCTCATAGAAATAGGAGAGCTGAGAAAACGAAAAATTGTACAACACAAGGTGAACACAAAACCAAGATCCTCTACCTCAACAGGTCCATGTAAATCTAAAAACTTTAATTTCACCACTGATAACTCCAAAGGCAGGAAATGATTAGTTACAGTTATCAAGAGTTAATAAATTTATAAATAGGCTATAAATATTAAATAATACAAAGTCAATAGCGCAGCTCAGTAACTTAGGTTAACAAGGACTAAGTAACCCATAATGAAAATGTTTAAGACTTTTAAGAATCTAGTCCAGAAACAATCTATTCTAAGACTTATGGCCCATACAACTGGTAAGGGTAAGGAATTTCCCCATATGTCAATTCATTAGATGATCACTAAGTAGTATTTATAAACTTCCATCTGAAGGAATTTTGCCTGCCAAATTAATCACTGAAACAATAACTGGGCTCCTAAGTACCAACAACAACCAAGAAGTAAATGTCCTATGCAGTCCTGGTTTATAAATTATCTTCTGTGAGTTGGTTAGCGTGAGTTTTATTGTTTCATCACTTCCTGAGGGACTGGGAATCAAGTTTCTGAACATGTAAAAGAAAGAACTTAACCCTGGACTACTATTACTCCCTGAAAGCACAGCTACCTCCAGACATCAAACATTTAAATAGCTAGCAGTCCTCGATTCCTTTTTACAAGACTGCAAGGTGAGAAGCACAATAGAGTTAGAACATAAGGCCAGTAACTTGTAAGACACATCTAGCAAGCAAAGGAGCAGCAGATGGGTCCAGCCTCAAAGTATAGCCCCATCCTCTGATTTACACGTCAGTCTTCCCGGCCTGAGGTACCTGTGTAGTCTGGTCGTGAAGGACATGGACTTCATAGCCCAGAAGCTTGAAGAGGGCGACTAGAGTGCTCTGGTCCACCTCCCCTCCAGAGCGCAATTCCAGGTCTTTTTCTCCGGTGAAGTGCACATTGCTCAGCACCAGTGCCAGGCCTCGAGGCCGGGACTGCAGCCTATAGGCCTGGAGAAGGGAGGCCAGTTAGACCATGGGCTTCTTTTTTTTTGGGTACCGGGGATCAAACTCGGGACCGTGCGCTTGCGAGGCAGGCGCCAGAACCACTGAGCTAAATTCCCGGCCCTGGGCTTCTTGATAACACAAACTATGATGACACTAGATGAGCCACTTCCAAAAAAAACAAAAACACAATACTGTAACCTTCCTAACCCCACCAGGTACGAACAAAGAAATGCCCACAGAAGACACGCAACAGGAACTTTCTGACAAATAAGGTAGTAAGGGAGTGTACACAAACTAGGCTGAGATGTCCCACAAAGGTATCTCTTTGCCCAACTCTACTTGCTATTATGCAAGACTCACTTGCTGGTGGTGTGTTTCATAAAACTCGGCAGTGCAAGGCTTCACCTGGAGGCAGGGAGGACCGTCTCCATTATCTAGGGAGTGTTCCACTACATCTGCAGGAAGACAAAAATCCCAAACACTAGTAGACAATTAAAACACCCACTCCAGTACCCCAGGGAAACTTTAGGCAGCTCTTTGAATTGGCCATGATAAATACTGTTTTCACTTTTTTGGGGGGGATACCGGGGATCGAACTCGGGTCCTTGGGCTTACACAGCAGGCAGCGAAACCACTGAGCTAAATCCCCAGCCCTGTTTTCACTTTCTGATCTATAAGCTCTATGAAAGTACAGCCCTTGTTAAATTTAGCTTACCACTAGGTCCTCTGCACTTGGCTTGTTAAGTAGGTGCTCAACTCACTGAATGGCTGAAAGGAAGGGCCATCTGATAAAATCCTGATTCTTATCACTAGGCTACCAGCCAGTAGGCTGACAGTCCTAAATGTAGTCTTTTCTCATTCAGCCTTCAAGGCAGGACCAGCTGATCACGACATGAATTTCCTACCTGTATAAATTGTTCAAAGGGCCAATTACCCCAAAGAAGAATGTTATTTGTAATGGAAGGAAAAAGGGTCCAACTAGTGTCTTATATAAATTGTCCTGCTAGGCTCTAATAAATATATCAAGGAACTGCACCCAACATGAATTATGTCTCATATAAGGGAGAGACCAGACACCAGTCAAAATTAAAAAAAAAACAAAGCAATCCGTGAGATCCCTTTTTCTCTGCATCAATTCTCACCTGCTGAAAGGCGGAGCTGCTTGTGAGGAGAACAGGACTCACACACTGGGAAAGGGAGACGCATGTCATAGTCACAGCTCAACTGTAAGAAATCAGGACACACCATGACAAACCTTAACGAGATGGTCCAGTCCAAATAAAAATCTCTCCCCTACCGTGTTCCATAGAAATCCTTTCCAGCCGAATTAACCCTTCCCAGGACCCCACATTTCTAGGATTTCATACCGATGGCAGCATATGCTGAAGACCAGAGAGAGTTGTGAGCAACATATCCTCTAGGTGACCCTGCTTGGTCTCCCTCAGCGCCACACAGAAAGCATCAAAAGCCTCAGGACCCCTCTTGGGCAACAAGTTGAGGAGTTCCACATTCTGGCTGAAACTGCCCACTTTGGCCTAAGATACAGGAACAAAACATGACATCACACTTAGTCTACCTTTAATCCTATTTTTCCACATGAGCTTCCTTCCTAGTAGTGTTCTCACTCATTTTAAATTAAGAATTTCTTTTAAAAGAAAGTATATAAAGTTGAAGTCCTGCCCATTAACCTTGAAATATGTATCTTTCCTGTCAAATGTCTAAGGCATTTCCTCAGTGTGACACAATATCTTTTCCACACTCTATCATCTGCTGTTCCAATTTATCTTCTTGGCCCCGGCCTCTCTCTGGCCTCCACATACCTGGATGAGCTCTCTCATTTCCAAAGTAATGATGTCCTTCTCCAGGAGATGTTCTAACAGTTCGCTCAGCAACAGCTGCTTGGCCAGCACCACTCGGTTCCTTTTCAGAGTTTCCTGATGGTCAGGATGCATGCCACATACTCCCATTATCCTGAAGGAAGAGGGAGATGGAAAGGGGGTCAAGTAAGAGTAGAGTGGAAGAGGTGTGGATAAGAACAAAAGAAATTAGTGCTTATAACAACAACCAAGAACAAGCCTATTTTACTGAGTCTGGTTAAATTCAAAGATGTATTAAGCAGTAACATATTGGTCTTAAGGAAATAATGTGTAATTCTTTGTGGAGTATATTCAACTGGGACCAGCTGAGATGAATGGTCAGACCAGATGAGGGAAATATCTATTGTGATCAAAATAATATACACACACCTATTCAAGGAGCATTCCTCTGATAGAGGAATTTTAAGAGAGTAATTCCAGAAAGCATTTTATATTCGTCATCTAAAACTAATTTTTAAAATCTCCTTAGATGAGGAATAAACAATGGCCAGGTTAAGTAGGCATATTCTCTCTCTAGATTACTTATACAAATTTTTTTCTCAAACTTTTAAATTTCTGTAACAAAATGACACTACAAACCAGAATCCTCTAAGACGTGGATAAGTAAAAAGTATGAAAGAAAATCATAAAAATATCAATGAACACAATCAACATGACTTGGGAAAAAAAAAAAACATGATGTGGAATCACAGTATAAGGGAGGTTAAGTTATTTTGGTAATTTGGTTTACTAGTATGGATGTTGTCAATTCAAAGATTTCCTTACACTATGGATTTGGAGATTAGCTTCTACTTATTTTTTAAAAAATTTTATTTTATTGGTACATTTTAGGGATACAATATAATGACATTCATCATTGGAAATCTGCACCTCTAAATCATCTCTTGGTTCTTATTTTCCCCCTTCCCCTGTACCCCCTTCAACCCCTCTATCCCTCCCCATTTACAAAGCCTTTGTTTCCATTTTTTCATTTTCTCATTTAATTCCATTCCCTTCTTTGCCCTACCCCTCCCACTTTTTCTTACTATTTCACGGTATCTATTATACCTTTAGTCCTTATTTACACTTTCAGTTTTTTACATTAGAGAAACTGTTCAGTATTTACACGTGTGTCCTGTTTATTTCACTCAAGAGTACTGCCTCAAAGTGCATCCATTTAGCTAGAAATGTCCCTAATTTCTCATTTTTTATGGGTGAGTAGTACTCCATTTTATTTAAAACACACATTTTCTTTATCCAGTCTCCAGTTGATGGGCATTTGGGCTGCTTCCAAGTTTTAGCTATTACAAACTGTGCTGCTATGAACGTGGGTGCACATATATCACTGTGGTATGATTCTTTTAATTCTTTGAGGAAGATACCCTGCAGGGGAATAGCTGGGTCAAATGGAACTTCCAGTCCTAGTTCTTTGAGGTATGGAGATTAGCTTCTACTTATAAACTAAAGAAGTCTCATTTTCACTATATATTACCTAAGTGCCTAATTTATATAAATCAAAAGCTCTTCTGCCTTAGCTTTCAAATATATGACAACATTAAGGTTCTGATGGCAGTGAAAAAGGACTGTAACAGTTCACTTTCTAGCTTAAAGCCTATTTAAAAATGCAACTTGATTTTAAAGATGATAAAATGTGGAGGAAACGGCATCTTCAAATCAGTGAAACACCGTGCATTCAGGATGGACGTACTTTAGATAAAGATGTCCTTGGTCTAGAGGTTTATAGTTAGATGGAAAGGAAGGAAGAACTCAGAGACCCAAGACAGCAGGTGGGACCCTAAGGCAGAAGAGGTATTGAGAATACACCTACTCCAACCTTCATTAAAACCTACTACAACAGACACTACAAATCAAAAACCTCACTTAAGAAACACCTTAAAACACACCAGAACAATAGCAATGTTGATATACATAAATGCTGTAAAAGTAAGGGAAAAGTGCAGTTGGTTGCTGGCTATTTCCTTAGGAGATATAACCAATGATGGAGCAGATTTCTTCCTTTAGCAAACAATTACTTCTTAAAGCTTTATTTTCCAATAGCTTTCACAACACCATCCTCTCCAACTCCTCTGCCTACTACAATCCTGTTTCCTTTATAGGACTTTGGACTTTCCTTTCAATGCTGGTAAGGCGTTAGAACTCTCTCACAAAGTATCTTTTCCTAGGTAATCTCGTCCATACTCAAATAACTCACAGACAACTAATTCTGAACCCTCTCGAAAATTCCAGACTTGAATTTTCATCCAACAACTCATTACTTTTCATCTGAAGCATCAAGTGCTCTCTGCACACCTGTTACTTCCTCCATTCCATACCATAGGGAGAGTCCTAAAAGTGAACCTTCCAAACGTCTGAAATCACCGTCAATTTCAAGACGCTCTTGGAAGTGGTGGTGGGCAGAAAAAAGGGACACCAAGGGAGTTCTAAAGTTTTGATTCTGTGTCCTTCTGAAGGTTCCCGCCTCAAAGCCCCATGTTAATCACCTGGGTTTGGAACTGCGCTTATTAAAATAAGTCCTCCTGGCTGACTTGTCTGCATCGAATCGGGACAGACTGGGGCAGAAGTACACTTGGAACTACAGGAACCTGCTCAACCCCGAAAGGCTGTGCTGAATTCTTTGGAAAAAATGCTGTCATTATACGCAGAGCAAGGCAGGTCAGGGTACAGGTAACCCAAATCAAATGCACACCAGGCCGAACACTTAAGTCTGCAGGTCTCATCGGTTTTTAAGGAATCAGAGCATAGTTTCTAAGAAAGCTGAGGAAAGGATGGAGAGCTGTTCAGGAGAAGCTGCAATTTAGTGGGTCCAGGCAGAGCTACTCTTAGGCAGAGGCCCCGTGAGAGAGACAAAAGGAGGCGGGGGCGTTTTCGTTCACGGGGTACAAGGCCCACAGTCAGCGCGAAGTGAGGTTCCGGGCGTTCCAAGGGCTCGGCAGGACCCCACGTCCTTGGCAGAAGAGGGGACGCGGGCGCTTCCAACGGCTCCGCGCGGAGGGGACTGCAGGGTCGCACGCCTAGGGCCGCGTCCCTTTTTCCTGGGCCTCACTAAGCCCCCCTGGGACCCTTCCTCACTCACCTGCGCCTCCGGTCGGCAGCCATTGGCCCCTTTTGTTGCACAGCGGGTCGGGACATCGCTCTAGGCGCCGCCATTTCCCACTTTTCCCGGGCTGTGTACGGACCGCCCACAACCCAAACAAACCCGAGGCCCCCCGCTTCCTCCGCATCCCCCCCTCCCGCCGCCTTCGCACCCCGCGCCTGCGCACTGCTACTCTTAGCACCTCCCCGACACCAAGCAGGTGTCGCCCCCGTCGCGGTCGGTGCGTGCGCAAGCGCAGAGCTGCCTTGGGGGGGTCGTGCCGTCCAATGGAGCGAGAGCAATGGGGAAACGGAAGTGGAAGAGGCGGGAAAAGAATAAACCCCTCTTTCCTGAGCATCTCATTGGCTGCCGATTCCCGCGGAAACCGCGGTCTCTCCCTTAGCCCCTCCCGCCCCGCCTATTGCGATTACTTCGCGGAGAGGACTTTTCCCTGGTTTGGGGTCGATCAGCTGGGGCGAAAGAACTAGAGGGCGCTCTTCTCGGAGGCTGGAGGTGTTCCTGGTCACGCTCAGCTCACCCTGCTTATAGGTATAAATGGTCCCCCGTTCTGTCTACGTAGTCTTCCATCCCTCACCAGCAGTGGTCCAAAGACAAGATTGTGAGGAGAGTGGGGGGCCTGATTTCCCGTTTGTTACCTTGTATTGATAACGCAATAGGCTTTGGAATCAAGAGTCCATTAAAGTTTTTTTTTTTTGTCATTTACTAACAATGTCTCCTTGTGTAAGTTATCCAAATCCTCTGATCCTTGGGTCCTTCCTCATTTTCCAAAGAGGGTAATAATACCTCACAAGGCTGAAAGCCTAAGGGATCTAACAGGCAGAGCGTCCAGAGCAGATGTAACACAGCTGTCGCTCAGATGTTACTTCTTTTCTTCCTTCTCCAGCTTCGTGGGTCACCCCTCCATATCACCCAGATCTAACTCTGGAAATACTGGACATGGGCAGGTCAGTCAGTGTTGCCAGAAGACTCAAATTGTGCCACCTACATAGCCTGACTCCTCTCTGGGTTCAAGTTTCCGTTTGTGAAGGTCAGGTGGAAACGCAGTTCCTGATGCATAGTAATGTTCCTGACAGTAGGAAATGCTGGTCAAATGGGTCAGTGGATCTACTGTGGAAAGATGGAAGTCCTGAGAGAGTTGCTTAGGAGTGTGTCCAGCTGTCTTCATAGAAAACATTATCATCATCAGGGTGAGCAAAGCAGTCATCATAGGCAGGGGGTGGAGTAAGTGGCTCCAATTTGGGGGTCTCCCTCAAGCTCTGCAGATCAGGAGCAGTGGATGCAACACGAGGTCCCCGAAGCCGAAGGCTGATAAGGGGTCTTCCGTGGTTTCCTCCCTGAGTTATGGTCCCCTCAGAGCCCACACGATTTTCCAGTCTGCCTATCCTGGGCCTCTCGGGTTGGGGAGCCTGTCCCCCCTCCAGTCCTGGGGGGATTACAACAATACAGTAAGGTGGTGGCTGATCCACTTCTTGGGGGCGGTTCTGTGACTCTGAATTCACCACTGCCTCTTCATAGGTTGGTACCTCAAAAGCTGCATTGTCTCTGAGGGAGGAGAAATAAGGTCATTAGTGAATTCCTGAAAGGACTTCTTTTCCTTCTTCCCATACGCTATCCACAAAAGACCCCTTTTTTGGTCCTGACTCGTGACAGGAGTGACAGAGGAAAGCAGAGTCTATGCTGAGAGACTAGAGGAATAGAGCGTGAACAGGCCCCAAGTGTATTCAGGTCATCCTGCCCACCCTTAACTCACCGTCCACTGCCAGAGGTCCCTTGGCTCTCGGTCTGCAGTGACTGCCTTGATCTCTGCACTGATTGGAGGCGCCATTCCAGAAAAGTGGCCAGGAGGCACCCAAGGAAGAGAAAACCAGCCAAGATGAGAAAGATATAAGCAACAGGGGTGATGTCCGGCCGTATGCTCAGCAAAGCCAGGCCCAGGAGGAGGAAGGCGCTGCTCAGGAAGAGAAATAGCTTCTTCAGTCTCCTCCAAAACTGGCTTGCCACCATGGCCCTTCCCAGGGTGCCTGTAAAAAGACACACTGCTGTTCTGTGTAAACTAGCAATTGGCATCACAGCTGTGCCAGATGCCAAAGTACGCCTATTCTACTCTTCTGTTTGGGTTCTTGGTTCTTCAATCTCAAATCAAATAAATGACCAGCTTCATAATTTGCTCTAGGTTATCAGTGTGTGTGGCAAAGCTGGGGAAGCAGCCCAGAGTTCTGACTCCCAGCCCCTAGGTGAATTTCCCGTGTCAGGGCTCTGCCTCCCTCCCTCCTCCCTGCAGTGTCCCTGCTAAGATCCAGGATCAGGTCCGGTCACCTGCCTGAGGCCTCTGCACACTGGCATTTCTGGAATCCAGGCAATGGGGGTAGGGCCTGCCCTTTCCCTGTTATGGCTGTGACTGAACCTCCACCCTTCTTCCCCTCTCCCTCCGGAGGCCCTCAGTCTGGCCCTGGGAGAGAGAGGGGGGTTGATACGTCACTTACCTACCCTGTGAGCCCCGTCTTCTGGTCTTCTGATTCCCCTGAAGTCAGTCCATGCTCTGGCTGGAGGGAGATATTGCGCACCGACTAAACAGAGCCTCAGGACACAACTACTTATGCAAGGTTTTACAAAAACCTGATCCTGGTCACTCCTGACCTTTTCTACACCCTACATCTGCCGGACATGCCTCCTCACCCCAGCGCCCTCTAATTCACTAGCTCAGATTTCCAGTTTTCTGGCAGGAGTCACAAGAGGCAGGGAGGCCAGTGGGCAGGGGAAGCCTTTTCTCAGAAACAAAGCAACAACTCCGAGGCAGGCCAAACTCCGTAGAAGGGGCACCCCACTCGCATGAGCTCCTGCCTGGCTCCTCGCTTGTTTCAGGAGTTCCTGCTCACCTGGTTTGCAGACCAAAGCGGTCACCGGAGCGCAGGGCCAGAGAGGGCGGCGGAGGAGGCGGAGCCCACTAGCCCCAACCCCTCCTGGCCCAATCCCTGTCCTGCCCAGTCTTCCTCCTCTCCGTCTTCCGGGATGGCCTCCCATTGCCTCACCTTGATTTCCACTCCACTATCCTCGTAGGAGGGCTCTCCCCACTGGCAATGATCTTTGTACTTCGGACCTGAATGCCAATTAACCTTTCCCTCTCCCTTCTCAGTTAGCACTGGAGGTTAGTCAGAGCCTTCAATTTGTGTAATTTATTTTGCACCTTACTCTCCCAGCTGACTAGAAGCAGAGGCCAGAGGAAGTGGCTTATTTAATCTGTGCACCTCTCACCCAGACCTTGCATACAGTGAGCCATGGTGTGGGCTGTCCTGCTTCTGCTGCCATTTCTTGGGAGTCCCCATTTCCTGCAAACCTGTTAGAGGGGTGTTTGTGTGTGTGTGTGTGTGTGTGTGTGTGTGTGTGTGTGTGTGTGTTTATGCTTCTTGGCTTAGTTAACTCCGTTCCTAAAAATTCATCTCCAAGGCTCTTGTTGTAGAGCCTTTTTGCATGGTGTACTCCTGGCATCCTTTGTTTCCTCTGTGAGCCTTTCTCTGGGTATATGGTACTTTTCTGTTTATTTATTTATTTATTTCACTGTGAGATTCTCAAGGGCAGTGTTTAGTTTCAGTCACCTCAGAATCCCCAAAACTTATGTGATTCCTGACACTGGGTAGGTATCTGCTCAATAGAGCCATTGCTTTTATTAGAAGCTACCCTTGAAGGGGCCTCCCTGCCCTCTGTGGACCCAGAGCCACTCTTTAGCTCTTGGGCTGTGGAAGGAGGTGCTGGGTGGTGCAGGGTAACTCCAGGCCTACTGTGTCCTTGAGCCAGATGAGGTTGCGCTCTTCCTTCATTGTATTAGCACTGGGCAGATTGAGGGGAGGTACAGATAGTGGGGTGCACATATAATCTGGTGTCCCAAGGATGACTGTCATGGAGACCTATCCAGGGCCACTGCAACAGTGTGTGGACTCTTTGTGTGTGTGCGCGTGTGTGTGTATAGGGTGAGAGGCAATGAATATGAGAATAAACATTTCTATAGCAGCATATGTGGGTAGTGTCGGGGTGTTGCGATGACCCTCTGTCAAAGACTCCTATGGAGAGAGGGAAGAGACTCGACAGGCTGTGGTGTCTACTTGAAGTGTGTCACTACACAAAGCAGGAATGAGTGGGAGAAGAGCTGCTGGTTATTTTGTTTCCAACAATCTCCTTACTATTAGGGTCATGAGGGAAAGTATGGCTGGAATCAGGATTTTGATCTTTGGTTAGTATGGGAGAAGAAGAGGATGGCCAAGAACTGATGGACTGCATGTTAAGCTAGGGAGACTTGTCAAGAAGTGAGTGTGGAGAGAGCGGGGAGTGTAGGCTAGGAGGCAAGGGACAAAAGGGCATTGGCCTGAATGTCTGCAGCATGAGATATTGTGCTGTACAGGAGAGCTGGGACCTTTGTAGCTTAAGTCTCTTGGTTGCTGAAGGAAGGTGTAGTACAGAGATCTGTTAGTTGAGATACAAAGTAGATCAAATCAGAGAGGCTGGATTGCCTGCTGGCCATGTCCTTTAATGTATTTTCTATCTCAATAATTTTAAATTGATTTCTGAAATTTGCCTTTGTTAAAAAATGTTACAAAATGTTTAAAAGCTAAAGAACAGATGATTTAAGATTATCCCCAGTATGTCCATTTAAACTTTTTACAATTCTTTGCAGGCCTGGCCTGTATAAATCAGTCTGTACTCTGATTGAGATCAGTGAATACTCATTACTTTTTATCTTTAAAATGTTTTAAGCATCATGCAGTATATATTTTACCTGTTGACATAGCCTAAAGTTTTAGCATTTTCTTGTTTGTTCCCTTTTTGGTGCTGAGTATAGAACCCAGGGCTTTGCATACCCTAAGCATACACTGCTACTGACCTTTGCAACCCAGCGTATTATAATTTCTAAGAACCATCCAATATTTTATTGAATATGCCATAATTTGACTAGCATATCCTTATGATATGTCACCCAATAACCTGGAGTTTATTTCATCCAATTTTCTTGTCATTAAAAATGATGCTGTTAAGACACAGAAAGTGGGCTACAGGGTTTGTTAGGGCCAGACTAGGGGAGGGAAGACTGAGGAGTAATTGCTGATGGGATTCTTTGTGGAGTAACCAAGTATTCCAGAATTACATAGTGGTGATGCTTGCAGGACAAACTCCACTGAACTGTGTACTTTAAAAGGGTGAGCATATCTTGATAAAGCTGCTTGTAATTCTATAAGCTGTTTATAAAGTCAATAAACACCTTTTTTGGATTGAATGATGAATTCTAAGAGGGGAATGAATTCTAAGATATGTCATCATGGAGAGACAAGCCATATGGAAGCTCCTAGTGCTTTGAATACACATAGCAGTTTCCCAAGGGATTTAATTTCCTTTCTGTCTTCATCAGCTTAATGTCCTTAACAAAACCTGAATGAACCATTCAAGTCAATCACTTTCTACTTGCCTGCCTTTACCAACCCTGTGGGAGGCTTATGCCTGCCTCTCTTCCTGCTTTTGCCACTTCGTCTTGGGGGATGATGGAGGACTGGGCGGCGGGGGGGGGCGCACAGGAACAAAGAGAAAACAGGTGATGCCATGCTTCCCGTGAGATTGGGAGGGTCCCACTGTGTGGTTCCGTGATTGAACGTTTCTGACTCTGGGTCTGCCTTATAGTTCTGTGAGATGTTTGGTTATATACTGCTTTAGTGTGCTTAGTACATAAATAATTTAAAATATGCATAATATAATAGGTAGTTATGATGTTATGTCCATTTTATGGATCTAACATCAGAAACTTGAGGAATATGGGTGAACTTGCCATGCAAGCTTAGAGCCCTTGCTCGTAACCATTGTGTCATTTCCCCTCCAAAGACTTTTTGGCTTCCTGCTCAAGATGGTTTACCAAAGCACCTGTGAAATTCTGCAGCCATTCCTCTCATGTTCCCTCCTTAGCAACCCTTTCCTAATCTGCTCCTTCAACTTGGTGAACTGCATGCAGCCGCAGACAGACTTTGGGTACATCTGTGTGGGACCAGCAGGGGGCACCGTCCTGTCGTTGCGGCCGATTTCACTGTGGAGCAATTGTTTACATTGTGCATAGCCAGGTGCTAACCTCTAAGTGTATCTACCAGGGAAAGATGACACATTTGATCTTGGTCTTCAGGGTGTTGTGATGAGGTTGGAGAGATAAGACACCCATATGAAAGAGTTTCAGTGATTAGAGACAGTTAAAAAAATATAAAAATTAAAGATATTACTAAAATATAATTATTATAGTTAATTAAAAATACTCTCTAGTCATGCTATAAAATCTAATAGTTAAGAGAATAATAGTAAAAATCAAGTCTCCTGTATACCCCTGATCCTCAGTCTCTCAGTTCCCATCTCTAGAGGTAGTTTCTCATCCCACCCAGAGAGACCTGAACGTGACAGACTTGCCCAAACAGACTCCCTGAATACACTCAGAAGCAAGCCATAAATATTGCTTTATGTTTTGCTTTTTCCACCTAACAATATATGTTGGAGATGATCCTTTATTAACATGTATAGAGCAGCATGTCAGCATGTGTAGACCATTTTATTATGAGTATTAAAAATTACAGAAAGACTGTTACCCTTATGTCCACCACCTAATTTTACAATTAGCATTATACTACGCTTGCTTTATAACTGGTCTCTCATCTCTCTATCCCTCCATCTATCACCAGTGCATCTTCTTTTTGGTACATTTCAAAGAAGTCTGCAGACTTCTCTCTACCACAGCATGGATAAAAGTACAATTCTATATTTGTTTACTGTTAGTTTTTTTCCATTGAAATAAAATGTGCCCATAATGAATGTGAGACCAAAAGTGACTCCATTTTGCTAATGTGAGACCAGAATGACTCCATTTTGTCCAAAATGGAGCAGTCTCCTTTGTTCTTTCAAATTAATGATTAAATGTGCTTAATCTGGGACAAAAGACATGATCTGTAGCTCAAGATTCCTAAGCTCATTACTCAGCCATCTGTTTGCCCTAGAAACAAGTGTCCTGGGCCCACTATCTATAGGACAATCTGTTAACGTGCTGACTATCCACACAAGGTGGTCATGACCATGAGTCAAGATGTCTGCTGACCATCAGTACGTGACAGACCACTAACCTTTGTCCCCATTTTTCTTGTAAAAACCTATACATAATCCCCTTCAACCCCCAATGAGCCTAGCCAATCAAAATTCTACACTTCATACTTGCTAAATGTTAACCAATCATATGGCTGCTAATGACCGAAGCTTGCTGTAACCTCTATAAAAACCCTGCTAATTTGGAACTCGGGGCTCTCAATCTCGATCCGCTGTGTCGGTGACAGTTGAGAGTCCCTGCTTAAACTTGAATAAACGACCCTCGTGTGCTTACATCGGAAACGGCCTCCTGGTGGTCTTTGGGACTTCGTAAACTGGGCACAACAATGAACACACAGGTTATTTTTTCCTTCAGTACTGGGGATTGAGTCCAGGGCTTTTGCACCAAGCTACATCCCCAGCTCATTTTATTTTTAAATTTTGAAACAATCTTCTTATCCCTAAGTTGCACAGGCTAGCTTCAAACTTGTGATCCTCCTGCCTCAGTTTCCCAAAGTGCTGGGATTACAGGCTTATACCAGCAAGCCAGGCTTGCTGGCTAACACAGAGATTTTAAGTGTGCCATTCCTTGAGTTCTGGTAGAAGCATACAATTTCATGATTCAAATTCCAACTAAAACATAAAACATTACTGTCATCCAGAAAGGACCCTCATATTCCTTCCCAGTCAATTCCATAGGCAAACTTTGTTTCCTTTCCATGTTTTAAATATATTTATGTATTATATATTTGATTTTATTCTATGTTAGGGAAAAACTAATGATTCTCCAAATGATAACCATTTATATTTTCATGATCTTGCAGTT